GTTGGATCTGCCTGGGGCTCTGTGGACACAAAACAACTCCTTCAAGGGTCCTGGCTTAAGACAGGCATGTGGGGCAGGGGTAGGGAGACCAGACAATGTACCTCTCTGAAGGCCATAGTAGAAAGGGTTTATTCTAGGATCAGTGACAGCGCTTAGCACATATTAGCAGGATGTGACATGCTCTTATTCACGTTTTTCAAAGACCCTGCTAGATGTCCCCCGGAGAATGGCTAGCAGGAGTGGAAGAGATGACGGTGGCTAAGGTGGCATATGCCACAAAGAGGAATCAAGGACATTTCCTGGCAAATGGCTTCAGTCTCGCTTTCATCTGAAGCAGTGACTGAGTTTATCTGTAAAGTTTGAGTTTACAGATAAGTTTGAGTTTAGTCCCTCCTTCTGTAAAACCACTGACACTCGGGGTTTCTCAGGCAAAATCCCAAAGCCCTGGCTGTGCAGTCATTACCTCCTCTCTCTGTCCCTGTCTTCCCCTCACTCTTGCTGATGGGAACAGCCTGCCCCTGGGTCACGGAGCTGCCCAGCCCTGAGTCCTCTGCCCTGGTGAGGACACTGCTTCTGACAGGCCTCACAGAGGCTCCCGGTCCCTGTGCCTTACTCGCAGGGAAGCAGCACGTGGCCAGGCCGGAAGCATGGTTTTCACAGAGGGAGCGATTAAGAGATTTAATTTAGTAAGTAAATTCCACCTTTTGGTATCCCAGTGGATAATTTTAACTTGCCGCTTTCTTAAATTTCATCAAATGCCTCTTAAGAGTGCAGAAATGGGAACATGGGTGGCAGGAACTGACTGTTTGCCAAGGTGCAAAGAGTCAACATGGGCAGCCACAGGGGTTTTGAGTGCTGAGCATTTTTTATTGGTTTTCATAAGGGGGTTTAAGGTGCATGATAAAGTACACAGGAGATGGAAACATATCAGGAAGAATTAATGCAGTGAAGCTGCCAAAGGGGAGATCAAAGTTCTCATCCAGCTAAGAAAGTGGGAAAACCTGACAGTTTTCCCTAGGAGCTGCCAAACTGGGTGAGGCTACAGTGTCTGAGCTCCCATGGACTCCCATGACCCAGTGGGGCCATGTCCCCAGAGTCCCCAGCCTGACGCTGCCTGTCCTGGCTGTGCCACATTCCCAACACAGGCCTGGGGTACTGGGGGAGCAATGCCCTTGGACTTGGAGATCCTGGGTTCGTGTCTGGGCTCTCCCTCAATTTTCGGTAAGTCACCACCTCTGAACCTGTAAGAAAGCATAATGGTACTTCCTACTTCCTGGGGCTGTTCAGTGATAATAAACTTGCTAATGTGCACAAACTTGAGAGTGAATTGTAAAGTTCTTTATAAACAAACACCATTATCATATAGTTACTTAGCTTCACCACTAGAAATACTTCCCCAGACTCCTGACCAAAACACCCAGAACAGAAAATTAACTGGGGGTTGCCATGAGCACCCCGTGCACCCGCAGGCTGGGGTAACAATGGCAGCTGGAACAATGGGTTCTTGGTTTCAGACAACCAAGAAGACAGGGCAGATGGAGGCAGAGGTCCTGTAGGACAGCCCTCCTCCACCCCACCCACCCACCCACCCAGAACTCCGGCACACAGATCCACACATCTGGGTCCTCTGCTCCATCCCCTTCCCGGCGGGGCCCTTGGCTCTTCCGTCCCTCTTTGCTTCTCCAGAAAACACTAAACTTGCCTTAAAGCTGTCCCTCTTTTCAGTCCATGTCTAGTTTGAATGACAGCTCTCCTGACATTTTTCTTCTTCACCAACATTCTCTGAGCCAGACCCTGCCTCATGGCCCAAATGTAGATTTTGGTGTTGAAGCCACGAACTCTGGCTCTGCCAGCTTCCAACCTGGACCTCCTCCTGGAGGCCTCCCCCAGCCCTGAGGTTGTCAAGCCTCTCAGGACTATGAGAGAGTCTCATCTACACACCTATCAGAATGGCTACAGTAGACTAGTGACACTACCAAATGCAGGCGAGGACACGGAAATGACAGTGCTGGACAGTGCTATCACTACACAGGTGATAGTGGCATCAAACTACCCACACATACCAGGGTCAGCATCCTGGTTCCAGTTCAGTGTTGACTGAGTGATGGGAGGTTAATCACTAGGGGTGCTCAGAGGGGAACCAGAGGCTGAACTGGTTCCTCTAACAGTTGTACTCTCTCAATGCTGAGTGTCCTGGGCAGCATAATGCCCCAAGATGTCACAGCCTGGCCCTGGTACCTGTCAGTGTGAACTTACCTAGCACAAGGGACTTTGCAGATGAGATCATCTTAAGGATGTTGAGGTGGGAAGGTGGCCCTAGGTTATACAGTTGGCCCTTAACCAGTCAATCGGGGGGTCCTTGGGAGAGAGAGGGGGAAGGGCCAGAGAGGAGGTTGGAGTCAGAGAGCTTGGAGGCTCTTCCAGAGCCTTGTCCTCATGCCTAGAGCACGGTTTGGGATCATGCTGGCATTTCTGCAGGGCAAGCTGTCGACCGGGTTTTGGTTTTACACGGCTCTGTGGTCAGGCTCATAAAGACGACTGGTGTGCATTCCATTACATCACACTACATTCATTTGGCGTCCGTCCTGCCCCACTGAGCCCTGTTTGGATCCTGATTCCGTGATCTGGTCTTCCCTCCTCCTCCTGGCTGTAGGTCTGAGACATGAGCCATGTGTGTTCATCCAGGACGCCAGAGAGAGGGTACCCAGGTGGGGTGAGCACTAGGCATTAGGCATGCTGTACAGGGGACACAGGCACAGATAGTACCAGAGCTGAGTATTAAGGCTTGTCCGCCCACACAATCCCCTTCCCCTCCCTCCCTCCAGGGCTGCCACCCAGAGCTGAGCCTTGCACAGGAACCAACAACCTCATCATATATTTAGATATCTCCCTGGGCTCAAGTCACACTCACTGGTCTACAGTTTGCAGAATTCCATGTCCCTCCTTTGCTCAGATGTCTCCTCTTCCATGTTTTCTGTAATTGCGCATTGACTAGGAGCCGCAGTGGGCAGCACTGCAGGGCAACTCCAGGCCATAGTCCATCCAGGGCTCCCGACTCTCCCCCTGGGAGGAACCCAATGTCCAGTTACTGTGCACATTGTTGCAAATCTCCAGACATCAGTCTTATTCATCATCCTCCAGTGAACGAATGGTACATCAGCATCTTCTGGCTCCTGGAACAGAATCCACTCTGTTCAGAATCTTCTGAGTGTAAGGTGAAGCCCATCCAAGACCTCCCAGAAAACCTCAAATGGGATTTTGTGGTTTTATTTTATCTTAAGTCAACAGTGGCACTTTTTTTCTTGGAGCATTTATCATGTCTTATGAGGCAATGGTTTAAAATCATCACACTCCTCAGAGACAGAACAAAGAAAGCTATGTTACTGGATGACTCTAGTAATACACTAGTCATACACTAGTCATACACTTGTCATTTTCTGCCTCGGTTTCATTTTTATTTTTATTTTTATTGTGTTTCTACCAGAGTAACTTCATTATTGGAAAAGAACAAATGTCCTGAAGCAGCCAAATCCTCTAGCCACACAAAGGAGCAAGTGCTCACTCCCAGGACTTTTACAACAGCAATCCTTCATCCCCTAGGATTACCAGGCAGCAGATACCCTGAGGGCATGATAAATCTGAAACACCACCTGTCTTTCAAGGGAGGGAGGGCAGAGCAGAAGCTTGTTTAAAATGCTAAAATCGGAATAAAAGCAATTTCCTGATCAAATTTCTTACGGCTGTGAAAGGTTAACATTTGTTCAGCCATTCAGTGTTTGCCAAACTCAGATCTGTCATCTCCACAAGCCTCCCTAGACCTGGAAGCTTCCCCTCGTCTTAGTGATGCAAATGAGAACATCCCACAGTGTCTGGGTTGGGGTGGGATCCCATTAGGGTGACTCTGAACTGTCTTGTTCATTTGACCCGCGAGTCGTTAAAACTATCCTCCTGTTTCTGGGGAGGGGTGAAGGGTTGGGGAGGTATCTCTCACTGGGCCAGAAGGCGGGGCTCCTGGCTCTTTCTGGGGCTGCAAGGCAGGTCCCCTGGCCTGTGCAGTCTCACATTCGGCTCCCTGGATTGGAGGGCACAGAGGTCTCAGAGCTCAGGCATGAAGGGACCAGGGAGGTATGAGGAGCCCACGGATGGTGCCATGCAGGAAGCCTGTGGCTCCACTTTCTTCCCTTTCTTGGCAGACCCACCAGGTGTGTAATTAATAGGAAATTGGTTTGGGGGTTTTTTTGTTTATGGTCGGGACAAAAGAAGCCTAAGAAACCGAGGAGAAACTACAGTCCTGGGCCAAAGAGACCAAGTCAGCGTGTGAGTATTGTTGCTGCCCTCTGACCACTGCCCACGTCAAAAAAAAAAAGTTCCAGGAGCATCACTGGTGCCCATTAAGGATGCACTTGCGCCTTCGATCCCTGTCCTCCGCCGCCAAGGCCTGCCTGACAGGAGCGGTGGGGTCCATTTTCTCCTTTGAATATTATGTATTGTCCCGTTCCTTGCAAACCCCTCTACTGGACCCCAGAGCAGCCCTCTGTGCCAGAGTCACATCCCACGTGATAAAATGACAAACCAGAAGGACCCTTTCCCCAGGAGGTGCAGCATGCACCAGGTCTCCCAGAGCCCCGCAGGGGCACTCCTACCGCTGTCCGACCCTCTCCGAGAGCCTGGGAGGGGTTACAGGGCACAGCTGGAGAGGCTGCCTAGTGCAGCTGCGCAGTAGGGATAACGCAGGCCTCTTTGGCACGTGACGCCGACACCGGGGACTCCCCACCCCGGGAGGGAGGGAAGGTAAAGGGACAAGCACCTATCGCCCGCGACCCCGCCTCTTCGGCCTGACCAAGCCCCGCCCCTCCGTTCTGCAGCCTTGCCTCGTCCGCAGGGACCCCGGAGGCACCGCCCCTTCCTTCTCGCAGACCGCCCTCCTCTGGGACCCCTCCTCGCTGCGCCAGGCGGTCGCATCCGGTCAACGCAAGTAGGAGCCTACCCTGTCTCCTGAGATGCCGCGCGCACCCCGTTGCCGCGCTGTGCGCGCTCTGCTGCGTGGCTGCTATCGCGAGGTGCTGCCTCTGGACACCTTCGTGCGGCGCCTGGGTCCCGAGGGTCGTCGCCTTGTGCAGCGTGGGGACCCGACAGTCTTTCGCGCGCTGGTGGCCCAGTGCCTGGTGTGTGTGCCCTGGGACGCGCAGCCGCCCCCCGCCAGCCCGGACTTCCGCCAGGTGAGCTGCCCGGGGACCCCGGTCAGGCCTGCGGGGTGGGATGAGGGCCGTAGTTCGTAATAAGGCCAGACGCCGCTGCGCTTGGGCTCCCAGCGACTCGGATCCTCTCCCCGGCAGGTGTCCTGCCTGAAGGAGCTGGTGGCCAGGGTCGTGCAGAGACTCTGCGAGCGCGGCACGAGGAATGTGCTGGCTTTCGGCTTTGCGCTGCTGGACGGGGCCCGCAGCGGTCCCCCCGTGGCCTTCACGACAAATGTGTGCAGCTATGTGCCCAACACAGTGACTGAGACGCTGCGAGGCAGTGGCGCGTGGGGGTTGCTGCTGCGCCGTGTAGGCGACGACGTGCTCACCTACCTGCTGGCACGCTGCGCGCTCTACCTGCTGGTGGCCCCTAGCTGCGCTTACCAGGTGTGCGGGCCACCGCTCTACGACCTCTGCACCACAAGACACAGAAACGGGGCCCTGACGGGCCTCGGATCCACACTCCAGGCCTGGAATGGCGGCAGTGGGGAGGCCGGCGTACCCCCGGGCTTCCGCTCCAGGCGACGGGGGCGAAGCCACGCGGGGGAAAGTCCACCACAGGCCAAGAGGCCCAGGCGTGGCCCAATCCCAGAGCCAGAACTGGGGCCGAGTGCAAGCCATTTCCACGCGGCGACACCTACCAGAGCTGCCGCGGAAGCCGCATCTGGGAAGGACGATCCACGCAAGACCCAGCGTCCCTCACCACTGCAGGGCCTCAAACGCGATGCCGGCTGCCCATCTTCTCATCCGTCAAGTCCCCAGGCCTCTCCCAGTCCCGGAGTGGTCGGAGTGGTCGCCGAAACCAAGCACTTTCTCTACTGCTCCGGTGGCAAGGAACAGCTGCGCTCCTCCTTCCTGCTTAACTCCCTGCCCCCCAGCCTGACGGGGGCCCGTAGACTCGTGGAAACCATCTTTCTGGACTGCAAGCCCCTGCAGCCTGGCGCTTCCCGCAGGACGCGCCGCCTGCCTGCGCGCTACTGGCAGATGAGGCCTCTGTTCCGGGATCTTCTTGGGAACCATGCACGGTGCCCCTATGGCACGCTACTCAGGAAACACTGCCCACTGCGGGCCACGGCCACTGTAGAGGCAGCGGGATCCAGCGACAAGGGGTACGGTGCAGTGGGCATCTGCGCCCCGAAGGACGTTGACCCGCAGCACCTGGCCCAGCTGCTCCGCCAGCACAGCAGCCCAGGGCACGTGTACGGGCTCCTGCGGGCCTGTCTTCGCCAGCTGGTGCCGCCTGGCCTCTGGGGTTCCAGGCACAATGAGCGCCGCTTCTTGAAAACCGTGAAGAAGTTCATCTTTCTGGGGAAGTACGCCAAGCTCTCACGTCAGGAGCTGACCTGGAAGATGAAAGTGCAGGACTGTGCCTGGCTGTGCAGAAACCCAGGTGAGGAAGTGTGTGTCATGGCCCTGCAGGCCCAGGCCAGGCAGTGAGCAGATGGGTCACACGGAATAGGGCTATGGCAAGAGGATGGAAGCATCTGGAAGCTCTCAGGAGCGTTCCCAAACCTTATTCATAATCCTTCTTTGATGTCCAAGTTTATCACCATGAGATAGTGTCCCGCCAATAGAAACAGAGGTTGGAAGGAGAACCCACTTTGCTAGGGGGTAATAGGTAGACCTCCAGTTTCCCGGATGCATCTGGTCAGCCAATATGCAGATCCAAACTTAAGGTTTAATTGTGCAGCTGCTGTGCCAGGGCCAGGCAGCTGAACGAGGGAAAAGACTGTCTCCTGCACAAGGACCCTAGTCCCATCTTCAGGAAGGAAAGGGTCACCAGGGAGCAGAGGGAGCAGCAGACGCTCTCCTGGGCCAGGAAAGTGGACAGCTGCTGTGGGTGCATGCAGGACATTTTTGGCCAAGCTGGCCTGCGGTGGGTGTCCCTCCCCACAGTCCCTTTGTTTTTCTGGGCTTGATGATGAGTTTCCTCCGGTCCAGCCCCTACTCAGCCCCCTCTTGGCCAGCATCCTCCTCATCTGCACACCAGCGCCAGGAGGAGACAGGACCAGCCACCCTCCCCGCTCCCTGTTGTGAAGGAGCAGCAGTGAGAACATACCCAAGTTTTGCTATTTGACCTTCCCCAACTCCCAAGACATTTAGGACTTTTAGAAGGAAAAAGGTTCAGAGCCCTCTGTTAGAGCCAGGCTTGCCCACCCAGATGCATGTTGCAGCTTCCTGGGGGCAGGGTGGGGGGAGGGAGAGGGACTTAAAAATGCCCATTCCCATCCCCAGAGATCCCAATTGCAATGGTGTCTGACAGTGGGGCACACCCGCGCAGACTTCCAAGAAACCCCAGGGCCAGATGATCTGACGGCAAGATGACCTTCCAGAAACTGGTTTTTTGTTTTATTTCACTTTAATGATGGAAAACGCCACATAATGAGATCTACCTCTTAATCACTATTTTCATGAATAGGACAACATTGCTGAGTGTAAGCAGGGCTGCACAGCAGATCTCTAGAACTTGTTTACACTGCGTGGCTCATACACCCACACACCACATGGGCAGTGTGGGGGACCCTCAAACGAGTCAGGCTCAGTTAAGTTAGCTGTTACACGACTCGTTTTACTCGGAGCTCCAGCTTGCCTTGTGAGAGTTTGACTTCTGTAACTGTTACCCAATTTCAAACAAGGCCCAACCCCAAGAAGGTGTTTTCCCAGGCTACTGGGACCTCTGCGGTATCCTTGCTCACTCCCCAGGCATTGGCTTCTTTCTGTGGCTGGGCCATGCCAGTTGCCTACTAGCTGAATAATTGATGCACGGGGCAGCCCTGGCCTCTGAGCCACCTCTTCTGATCATAGCTGTCTAGAGTCACCTCTTCCATCCTCTTCTGCTGGGGTGCCCCTTCCTCTATGCTGGCCATCTGCGCTGCCTGGTGCTCCGTCCACAGTATCCAGGCTCCTTTGCTTCTGTCTAGCCAGCCTTGACCATTGTCCCACCCGCCATGCTGCCTGTTGACTCCCATGGGCAACTTGGTAACCAGCCCCAGAGGCCAGACTGCCGGGCTGACCGCATCTGCTACAGAGTGTTGCTAAAGACACCTCAAGACAGATTCCTGATGGAAACTCGGGAGCTGCCGCAGCTCCTTGCTTGCATACTCACTGCCTCTCCCTGGGCTGTCTTTGGGCTGGTGGCAACGCGACCCCTAACCTGGGCATACGCTCCTGCTGGCTTAGGTTGTGCTCTGCCTCTGGCTCACACGGAATCGCTTTTCCTGAACTGCCATCCAAGTGTGTCCCTCCTGCCAAGTCCTTTGCCTTCAGAGTGGAATCTGGGTGGAGCTTTTCCTGGGACTTTGTTTTTAATTCCATCAGTTTCTCTGATGGTTGTGTCCCTCTGCTCTCAGGCCGTTCTCTCTGCCTGTGACCTTTCAGGTAGGTATCTGGCTGTGTGTTTCCCATGGTCCTGCTCAGCTGCGCCTGTGTTTTAATGGGTTGTCCACGTTTTCACATCAACTGCGTTTAAGTATTTTATAGTTTCTCCTGTCATTTCTCCTTTGATCAATGACTTACTTAGACATATATTTTAGATTTTCGAAATGAGTGGTTATTTTAAGTTATCTTTTTGTTATTGATTTCCAGCTCAGGCGTGCAGTGGTCTGCGTGACCCCGCTTAGTTGAAACTTGCTTTGTAATCTCGTGCACCGCCCGTCTTCACCAGTGTTGCTTGTGTCCTGGAGGCCCGGGTGGGTGGCTGTGTTTACTTATCTCACTTATTATTCGCTATGAGAAACGTGTGTCCTTCCATGGCTGAGTTCTTAGCAGGATTTGCCTGTCTCACTTGGGCAATTTGTCCAGCTCCTCCTGTTCTAACAGTGTGTGCATGGTTTTATTAGGTACATGCACATCGGAGAAGTTTTAGCTTCATGATGAATGTCTACTAATTCTTTGTACCATAAAGTCTGTTTTAACAATTGAGAACAGCTCCACTGGCTTCCCTTTGGTTAGCGTTTACCTCTTGTGTCATTTGTCATTTGCTAATTTTTATTTTCAGCCTTTTCATATCTACATAGTTTAGATGTGTCATACTAATAGCATATTGCTGACATTTTAAGTTTATGTTTGATCCAGTGTGACAATCTTTGCCACTTTCCTGGAGAATCTGATTTGTTTTCATTTTTGTTATATTCTCTATTTTCTTTCCTTAGTGGTTTTCCTTCTCCTGAGCAACATAAGGGCCTTAGCATATTTTAACCTGGTCACTACCCCCAACCGGTATCTGTTCCCCTGGTTATGTTTCAAATTAGAAGCTGTTATTGTTTTCCATCGTTAATGTGTATTTAGCTTTATCCCCCTCCCTTTTTTCCTCCATCCTGTCTTCTGTTCCAGATCTGTCTCTGGGTCCCTTTTCTGTCCTTTACATGTTTCCACTTGTACCTTGGCTCTTGTGGCAGCCGAATGACGCCCATGGTCCTCTTCCCACAGTCTTTCACAGAATAAAATGCCCCCAGAGGAGAACCACAGTCCTGGTATGTGTTCGGAGCCCTGCTGCATGTGGTAACCCTTAGCTGGCATGTGACTGCCACCACTCACCAGGTTGGCCAGCCCAAAGAACCCCAGGTATTTCTAGATCTTGCTGCTCAGTGAGGATGCCTGAAGTCATATCTGTGCATTCTCCATTCTGCTTGAACGCCAGGACAAATAGTGACACATCATCACTGCCCAGTAAGAAATAGAATGTAAGCCACTTGTATAATTTAAAATGTCCTAGTAGCCACATTAAAAAAAGTAAAACTAATTTAACAATACACTTTATGAAAGCCCAATATATCTGAAATGTTGCCACTTCAACATGTAGTTAGTTAGTAGGCACATTATTGATGAGGTGCTCCGTCGTCTTTCTCTGCTCGAGTCCATGGGATCCAGCATGCGGGGCCGTGTGCAGCACATCTAGCCCAGACCTGCCATTTCATGCAGCCCACAGCTGCCGTGCTGGGCCATGCAGCTGGTCCATGTAGTATGTGCCTCTTTTTCCAGGGGGTCGCTGTGTCCCGGCCGCAGAACACCACCTAAGAGAAGCGATCTTGGCCAAGTTCCTGTGCTGGTTAATGGGCACGTATGTGGTTGAGCTGCTAAAGTCCTTTTTTTATGTCACGGAGACCACATTTCAGAAAAACCAGCTCTTCTTCTTCCGGAAGAGTGTCTGGAGCCAGTTGCAAAACATCGGGATCAGGTATCACAGAGTGTTGCACGACCTGTTTTTTCCCATCTGCAAATGCAGCCCTGTTTCCTGCCTGGGTTCCCTGGGCCCCTCGCCCAGCTACTCCGGGGGCCCTCCTGGCCTACAGGGGCTCTGCACTGGCGTGGACCCCTGGGGCTCCCTTTTCCTTACGTGAAGCATCTGTGGTTTGAGGTAGGGTGATCTCTAGGGTCTCAAATCAGGAACAATGGTGCAAGAAAACCACTTATCCCTGGCATGTGATCAGATTCTATTTTAATTCACACAGAGTAATTGGGACTTGTGTCATGAGGTAACGAAGCCCGCCTTTTTAACAACTCACTGTGGGAAGTGTTTGGGACAGAGGTGTCCACCGTAACGTAGGACCCTGACGCAGAAACTTCCAGGAGATTGGCTTGCTTCCAAGTAGCTTTGTCTCAGCTGCTCAGTAGCTCTTTCGGGTACATTGTGAAGGATGGTGGCAGACGTAAGCTGGGTTGGGATTCATCAGGGTTAGGAGTATGATGGCCCAACACCCAAGTCCTCCTCCTCTCTGCCGGCGGAGAGGAGGTGCCCTGTGTCCTTAAAGGGCTTAGCAAGGACCATGAAGCAGCCCCGTCAGGGCTCCCACGCTCCATGCACATTTGGGTCAAACCCTACCCCAAGCCACACGTCTCTGAAAGGAGGCAGTGACTCCTGAACCAGGGCCCCAGTCCCAGTCCCCCTAGGTCTGAGTTAATGCACAGTGTGTCCTGTGTAATAATTTCAAAAATTCATGGCATGTGATCCAAAGTGGTCATTTAGAACCTAACTGTGGGGACCATGGCTCTGCCTACTGGGCGTTCAAGTCTCATGATGGGCTGCACTCTCCAAGCTCCCTTCGCTGCTGGGGCCCCAGCCCAGGTAGCATTCTCAGCCCCAGCCCCTCCCTGTGGGTGGTTTCAGGGAAAGTTCAGGGAAAGGGAGATGGGAGGTGCCTCGGGAGCTGACTCTGACCTTCGGGGGGGTTGCATGAAGTAGCTCCCCTGCGCATTCCGTGTGGCACACCGTGGGGTCTTCGTCCCAGTGGTGTCGTGTGGTCCCAGCCTGCGCAACCCTGGTCTCAGTACCAGAGGGAGCCAGGTGTCCTGGTCCCCTGCTACAGAGGGCGTTCTAGCGGCGTCTGCTCAGTGTCTTGGTGCAGCCTTATGGACCCAGGCCCCTCCACAAGTCAACCCACCTGGGTTCCTCTGTGGCCACTGAGCAACGTCCCATGCAGTTCTCTGTTTCAGACAACACTTCGATAGGGTGCAGCTTCGTGAACTGTCAGCAGCTGAGGTCAAGCGACATCAGGAAGCCAGACCTGCTCTGCTGATGTCCAGACTCCGTTTCCTCCCCAAGCCCAGCGGGCTGCGGCCGATTGTGAACATGGACTACGTTCTGGGAGCCAGAGCATTCCGCAGGGACAAGAAGGTCACCACTTTTGTTCCATTTTTTAAACAAACTGCACTTAAACCCCAGGCTGGGTGCCCAGGTAGACAGCCTTGGGGTGGGGTGGAGGGGTGCCACGGTGAGGTGGGCAGGGTGCCATGGACAGGCCGTGTCATTGGGTCCAGAGAAGGAGCTCTCAGGAAAGCCGGCCCTGGAAGCTGCTAAACAGGCTCCAAGAACCCTCAAGGTTCCAGGAGATGGACCCATGACACAAGGGACCAACACGGCACCCGTGGTCCTTCTGTAGCACCAGCGATGCATGCTCCCTGTGAGGCAGGGACAAAAAGAACTGGGCTATTCAGTCTCCCTTCCGGGTTCCTGGACCCTGTAGGACCCCACCCTGTGGTTAGCACCCCCTTCCTCCTATGGCATCTGCATCACCAGCAGTTCTGATCCCTTCTGAGTGCCTCCCTGGAGCATTTGGGAGTGATTTTGTCCTCACTGGTACATCTCCAAAAGAAAGGGATGCTGTCTCTGTGGATTAGGGATCTGTTTTGGTCTGTGAGTGAAGATGAATTCCCTGTCTGGTGGGAGGGGGTCCCAAGGAGGAAGCACACCTTTGCATCTGCTGTGGGGTGGGGCCCAGGTGGGAGAGATGATCCAACGGGAAGCTACTCAGCAGTTTTCCATACCGTGTTTCTAGGATTCCAGGATGGGTCTCTGGGGATGCCCCTGGGCCTGGGGTGGGAGTGGGCGAATCGATCATCTGGCTCTTCCAACATCTGAAGGAAGCAGGGGCGCAGGGAGTACAGAAGCAAAGATTCCCCTCATCCCTGGGCCCCACAGGTGGGATGGGGTCAGTTGGGACCCCAGGTTCCCTTGGCAGGGGCCATTCTGTGACGATGCCACCATCCTGGACTGGCCCCGCAGGTGCAGCATCTCACTTCAAAAGTCAAGACGCTGTTCAGCGTGCTGAACTACGAGCGGGCGCAGCGCCCTGGCCTCCTGGGTGCCTCTGTGCTGGGCATGGACGATATCTATAGGGCCTGGCGTGACTTTGTGGTGCGCGTGCGGGCCCAGGACTCAGCACCCCAGCTGTACTTCGTCAAGGTGGGTGCTCCTCACCCCCAGTGAGCTCGCTCAGCACCCTCAGGCTCACTCACCGGGTGTCTCCACATTTTGGGCTCTGGCCAGGACGTTGGGTGTGGCCGCCCTCCTCAGGGTCCGTGTCTGCCAGGGTGAGGTACCTGTGGTGGAGCTGCAGACTTTTGGGAACAGGGAGGGCAGGTGATCTCATCTCCATTTGGGAGCACCTGGCTCCCGGGGGCAGAAGCTTTGGGCCTTCCCTGCTGGCGCAGATGCTGCTGCTCTGCATCCCAATTCCCCTGAGGCCCCTGCCCTTGGGGAGAATATGACACCGCCACCTGCTCAGGGTGTGGGGGATCTCCCTGAGAAGGAAATGCACCTGGCTCAGTTCAAACAGCCAGGGTACCCTAGAGCCCTGGCTGTCTGCCAGGGACCTCCTGCTCATCAGCCTGCACTCAGACAGACCTGGGCCCACCCCAGAGTGTCCCAGTCTGGGGTGTGGAGAGAAGGACCCAGAGCCACCCTGCGGTGCTCGGAGTCTGGGGCATGTGGGGACATCTCAGCAAGAGCCCCAGGGCGGGGCGAGTATGTATGGCTGGGATGGGGCTCTGGGAAGGGTGTCCAGGGGCTTCCTGGTCCTGCCGTGTCTGATCCCCCCCAGGATTTTCTAAGGACAGGCTGGGGCCTCGGCGTGGCAGGGCAGAACAGGTGGGACCCCAGATGTGGGGGGCCACGGTGAGTGTGTGAGCAGCCTGTAAACACACCTCCATCCACATAGGTGGACGTGATGGGTGCCTATGACGCCCTTCCTCAGGACAGGCTGGTGGAGGTAATCGCCAGTGTGATCAAGCCGCAAGAGCACACATACTGCCTCCGCCAGTACGCCGTGGTCCAGAGAACTGCCCACGGGCACGTCCGGAAGTCCTTCAAAAGACACGTAAGTCCCATGGGTGTGTGCCATGAGGAGGTGTGTCCGTGTCATAGACGTGTCTGCCCCTTTGGTCTAGCCCACCCCCATGGGCGCTGAGTGACACTTCCTGGGCTCCCAGTGCTGGGAGATGCCTCCATTCTTGTCACCTTCATCTGCTTGTTCATGTCACATTCAGTCCTCTGTCCAAGCCACTCCTGCCTGCTGCCCCTTCACAAGACCTCTGGGTTTGTACAAGGAGGTGTCAGCAGAGCCGTGTGTGTGATTCTTTGCTGTCCCTGCGGCTGCTCCCCAGGAGGCCAGGCCTGACATGAACAATCATCATGAGCATGTTGGAGAGTGAGGGTCCCCAGCGCCCCCTAAAGCAATGCCGTAGGAAGGCAGAAGGGTGCAGGAGTTCCCCAAAAACTTTCTGGGAAAGGCACACCTGAAAACCCCTAGGCAAATCAGGAGAGTATAGATTGCAAATCCTGAGGGCACAACACAGTGAAATTGTACATTTGTGGACAGATGTTGCTACCACCTGTGGCAAGGTATAGGAAGTCACCAGCACCATGAGGCGCCCCCTTTTCCCCAGGTGCCCACCACCCTGACCTCCGTCATGCAGACTCACTAACCTGTCTCAAATTCCGTGAACGTTGATCAGACGGAACACCCTTCCCATCTGGTTTCCGTTGCTCCCCAGAGAGTCTGAGAAGCAGCTGGGCGCTGTGAGCATCACTGTGATGTGTCATGTAGATTCAGGGGTGGAGTTGCCAGGTCACAGGTGTGCTTTGTTTAGTTTTAGACATCGCCAGAGGCTTGTTCCTGAGGGCTGTGCCAGAGTGGCCATGAAGCACTTGACCCCACTGTGCGGCCACAGGCCAGGACTGGGCTCCGGGGGACGGCCATGGGACACCAAAGCAGTGCTGCACATGCGGGCCAGGCGTGCACACTTGCAGGCGTCAGCGCTCAGGTTGTAGCCTGAATTTCCTGAGGGCGTGCACAGTGCCTCACACCCTGCTCTCTCTGCGGCAGGTGTCTACCTTCACGGACCTCCAGCCTTACATGAAACAGTTTGTGCAGCAGCTGCAGAGGGCAAGCTCGCTGAGGGACGCCGTGGTCATTGAGCAGGTCGGTGCGGGCAGACGCCCGGCACATGGCTGGGGGCAGGGCCGTGGGCATGGCGAGGCCACCCTCCTCAGCCAGCGGGGACCTGTTCTGCCTTCAGCTGTCTCGCTGAATTCTATACTGCTGTCACGCTGCTTTATTAAGATTTGCTAGAGATACCTTCTGCAGTTTTGATCTTGAGGCCAAAAGAAAACACGTCTCCTTCCTTTAGGAAAACACATTGGATTTGACTTATAAACTTACCTTGAATTGACCCATGAGGTGGGAAACCGGTTTTTCTTGTGTGTGATCAGAGACTATTGCTAAGTTTGTGGCTTTTTGCAGAACCAGTTTTAGGGTCGAGCCAGTCCTCCAAGCATGGCTTTGAGACCTCAGATGTCTTTTTTTGGGGGCCACCAGAACCCCACCACATGCTGCAGTGACTGTGACACAGGCCGTCTGGGCCAGCGGCCATGGGTCTGAGCCCAGCCAGAGCCACAGATGACCCATGCTGTCCCCACTCGTCTGCTACCGCCCACCCCTTCAGCCCTTGCGCATCTCTTGCTTGCATCTCTGCTTGCCCACACACATCTCCCACTTACTTTTCCAGAGCTGCTCTCTGAACGAGGCCAGCAGCAGCCTGTTTGATTTCTTCCTACGCCTGGTGCACAACCACGTCATAAGGATTGGGGGCAAGTGAGTCAGGACTGCCTGCTGCCAGCTTGGTGAAAAGGGGTCGTGTCACGTATGGACAGTCCATGGCAGGGCTTCATGGGCTGGTGTGACAGATCTCGATTCATCCAACCCACAGGGCAGGGGTGGCATGTGATCTGTGTTCATTGTGTGTATGGTATGCGCCCCTTTTTTTATGTGGTTTGAGCAGTGTGTCTGCATGTGTGTGTGTGTGAAATGGACATGTGCTCTACCTTCTGCACATGTCTTCCCCCAGGTTTTATGTCCAGTGTCAGGGGATCCCCCAGGGCTCCATCCTGTCCACCCTGTTGTGCAGCTTGTGCTACGCAGACATGGAGAACAGGGTGTTCCCTGGGCTTCAGCAGGACGGGTAAGAGTTCCCTATCATTGGTCCCCTTGATTGCTTTTGCCCCCTCTCGTGCTCTGGTGCAGACATGGCTGCCCATTCATCATGGGAGGTTTCCCAGGAGATAGTGAGCAGGCCTCACACATAGGCTGTGAGTAGCTCTTAGTGCACCAGGGAGTGAGGCATTTCCAGAAGACCCAGCCGGCGGCTATGCTGCTTGACTGCGGGACCCCTGTCCTCCGTCCCTAGCCAGTACTGAGTCCCACGGGTTACCTTGCTCTTGTGCATGTGAACTTGGGTGTTGAATGCCCTTTTTCAGGCATCTTTCCCTATTAGGGTGCTCCTGCGTTTGGTGGATGACTTCTTGCTGGTCACCCCTCACCTGACACAAGCGAAAGCCTTTCTCAGGTAAGGGTCTGCACACACATGTATTTCAACAGGTGCTTCTATGGCCACATGCAGCCCGCCTTGCTCCTATAAGAGGTAATTCTCATCTCATGCCTAGCATCCGAGCATCTCTGCTGAGGGCGCGTGGCACCGTCGTGCCGTTGTGAGAACCTGGAGGTGCAGAGCAGGAGCCTGGAGCTGACAGCATGGCACCAGGACACAGATGTCGCCAGAGGGAGGGAGCAGGCGTGGGTCAGATGGCTGGGCTGGGCTGGGAGTTACACACACGCAGTGAGCTGGACAGTGGAGAGAGCAGCGACACCTTCTCTGGGAGCAGTGCCCAGGATGCGGCGCAGGAGCCAGCCCTGTGCGCTTCCCTACAGCTTCTAGCGTGGAATCGCTCTTCTTTGTGGCAGGCATTGGGAGACAGGGGGCTTGCTAAATGCACGGGATCGCCTGGGGTATTGGCATTAAAGTTCATTTTGTTCAGGCTTACATCTGGCGGACAGGGACCCTTGCCTTAGCATACGGTCCACAGAGCACCGTCCCTTCCAGAGCCCCAGGGAACACGCTGGTTTCACAGTGTGGTTTTCCAAGGAAGGAGAATCAATAAACCAAGCTCTCAGAAGTGTCTCTGCCTGAGGGGCAGTTTGCTTTGGTCACAGGGGTGTCTCTGGAGATCCTATACGATGGCATCCCCATGCCCTGGGTCTGCCCCCAGGGGGTCCTGGGGGCTTGGAGGGTGTGTGATGCTGCTGGGATGTGCTGAGCCTCGCTGCTGCACACAGTAGCCCTGCATAGGATGACATGCAAATATAAATTCATCAAAGTTAAATCACATGGAAAATTCAGGTCCTTGGGCACTGTCCACATTCAAAGACATCAGTGACCACACATAGCCAGTGGCTGCCAGAGGGGATGACACGGACAGAGCGTGGCCTCTTGCATGGAATGTCTGTGCACGAGACACCAGTGCTCTGAGGGTGTTGGGCAAGGAGGTGGCATAGAGTGGGTACATTGTGGTCCCACCCAGGAGCTGGACAGCTGGGGACATATATAGAGTTACTGCAAGGAGTCAGCCCATGTGATGGTGGGGGCTGGCAAGGCAGGTGGGAATCCACGGGCAGCAGCAGGAAGGGCAGGAGCTCAGGCTGCCGTCCACCGGAGGACTCTCAGGACACCCTGGCTCTGCTCTCGGGCCCTCCCACTGATGCATGTGCCCACCCCACTGTGCAAGGTAACCTTTAAAGCTGGCTGAATGCAGGTGTTGACCTCATCTACAACACCTCAGCATGCCTGAGGACTGTGGCCTCTGAGTGGACACAACTGGCCATTGCAGAGAGGACATATGTCATCCATGCGCCCTGCCTGCCCTCCCACTGGGCCTTTCTGTTTTCAGCCGGGAACCTGAGCTCATTGCTCACCTATCTTACCTGTGAACAGGGCCATGTGGAGTCCACTTGGCCTTCAGGATTCAGCCCCATGGTCCCATCCCCTACTACTGGCTTCTGCCCTTCCTGGTGGCCACCCTGTTCTCTGATCGTTATCACCGGTCATCCAGAGCCTTTGGAAGCACCTGGAGGCCAACTGGGTTGGCGCAGCCACCCTTCACTGCCAGCCCTTGCTTCCTCTGCCTCTCAGGGTTTGACGTAGCATCACGCCAGTGCTTCTGAGATCCTGGTGCATCCCTCTCCTCCTGGTGGCTGACAGGGCCCCTCTGTTTTAGGACCCTGGTCAAGGGCGTGCCTGAGTACGGCTGTATGGCAAACTTGCGGAAGACAGTTGTGAACTTCCCTGTGGAAGACGACATCCTGGGCGATGTGGCCCCGCTGCAGCTGCCGGCCCACTGCCTGTTCCCCTGGTGCGGCTTGCTGCTGGACACACGGACCCTGGAGGTGTTCTGCGACTACTCTAGGTTAGTGTGCCTGGCCAGGTGTACGTGGGTTAGCCCGGTCCTCATCCTGCTTCTGTGTGCAACAGGTGGCTATGGTCCCAAAAGGTCAGGGGCTGAGGTGCCTTCTCCCCCTCAAGATGGGACCTGAGTGCGTCCTGTAGGGGAGAGGGGACTCTTCAGGTAAGCAGTTGTCTGGGGTGTTTTGGATAAAAGGAAATTTTATGGCAGGCCTGGGGACCCCAGCATGTAGGGAAGCAATATAGATCTGAACCCAGAGATTTCAGGTCCTGATGGACACGGTCCATTTACAGTGAGCACACATACTTTATTGCCCATCCATAGACTCACTGGACATTACAGGTTCGTGGTCGCCTTTGATCTGCCAGGGAAGCGGGGCTATGGCACACGGGGCCTGCTCTGTATGCGATACCGTGGGTCCCTCTCTTACCTCAGGCTACCATAAAAAATACCACAGGTAGGACGGCTCAAACCACAGACATTCTCTCCCAGTCCTGGAGGCCAGAAGTCTGAGGTGCAGGTCTAGACAAGGCTGGTTTGTCCCGAGGCCTCTCCTTGGTCTGTAAACGGCTGTCTTCCCGTGTCCTCACATGGCCGTCCTGCATTCAAGCATCTCAGGTGTCTATCTTTGAAGGACACCAGTCACATTGGATTAGGGCCCACTCTCATGCCCTCATTTAACAACTCAGTTACCTTCTTAAAAGCCCTGTCCCCAAACACAGTCACACAGGGAGAGGGCTTTAAAGTGTCAATCTGGGGGACACGGTTCATCCCTAACAGCCAGTTTCTCCCAAACCTGAGAGCTTGCATGCAGCGCAGCCTCAGGCCGTGCACAGATGTGAACTGACTCAGGCGAACACTGATACAGGAGTGTGCCATTTTATGAATAAAAAGGACATTATAAAACCAGTGGAAGGCAGGTGCTCCCTTGTGCTAGGAACGCCAGCTCTTCTGCTGGAACACTGGCACTCACTCCTGTTTCCAGGAGGCCCTTTGGGGATTTGCTTAGAAAGGGGAGGAGCAAATGCAGTTAACTCGATACTCTATCCAGATGGGTCTATCCAGATGGGTCGGTCACCTGTCTGCTGCCTCACTGGGCCATCCCACATGCTTCCTGTCTGCCTCCCGCTCCCTGCCCAGCCCCGGACCCCCAGCTTTGTCTGCTTGATTTTTCCCCATCAGGGGACCTCTGCTTGGACTTCCTGGGCTCCTTGACCCTCTGGGCCCAATTCTGCCAGAATGGCACCGAGGTCCTGGTCCCTCCCTTTGGCGATTCCCCTGCAGTATAGCTGTCACCAAGCATGGGAGCTGGGGTGAGGGCACGTTTGTGCGTTTCTTAGGGTGGGGCAAACAAGAACCACTTTTCTGGAAAGCAGTAAGTTTGTGTTAATGTTCCTAAAGTGTTAACACATTTTTTTCAGTAATTTCAATCCTAGAAATCTGTCCTCAAAAAAAAATCAGAGACATCATCGAAGATTTCACTTGACCATTTTTAAATGCTCAGAGCAGCACGACTTGCCACAGCAGTGAAACAGCCTAAATAAATGACTGCGATATTGCATAATACCCAGGGGAAACCTTCTGCCATTAAAATTCTTGTCAAAGAATATTTAATAAAGGGAAAATAAATAAATTTCAAGATAAGTCATCCAGGGTGTGGACATGTGCCACATGTGTTCACCTTTGGAGAGTAACGTGGAGGGGAACGCATGGCAGAAGTGCTCCGGGTGCCAGCAGTAGTCAGCAGGTGCCTGTCCATGCTGTGTCCCCACGTTTCCATGGAATGACAGAGTTGGCCATCAGCTGGGGTGGGCCAAGAGGATGTCGGGTGGGCCTCCTCTTCTGGGCTGGGGAGCACAGGCCGTGTGTGACAGTGGGAGGTGGACACGCATGTCATGGACACCCCCTTTGTGTTGCAGTTACGCCCAGACCTCAATCAGAGCAAGCCTCACCTTCAGCCAGGGCTTCAAGGCCGGGAGGAGCCTGCGACGGAAGCTCTTCGCAGTGTTGAGGCTGAAATGTCACAGCCTGTTTCTGGATCTGCAGGTAATCACGCGGCCCGCACACTTCACAGCTCAGAAGGCCCGCTGCTCCATCTGCCTATGGGAGTTGGGTTATAGGTCCTGTTGTGTAAGTGTGCAGATGTATGTGTGCGGGCATGTGTGAGTGAGCATGCATGTCTGAGTGCATGCATGTGAATGCATGGCTGTGCGTGCATATGGGTGTGTGTGCACATGCATGCAGGTCTGTGTACATGTAGGAGTGTGCATAGATGCATGCGAGTGAGGATGTGGTGGGATGTCAATGGAGAGATAAGGGTCCTCCTGTTTACTCCATTTGTGTGGGTGATAAAGCAAAAGATAGAAATGTAAATTTCAGACGTTTTCCCAACATTTCCTTTCCTTGTGCCTCCAGGTGAACAGCCTTCAGACAGTTTGCACAAACGTTTACAAGATATTCTTGCTGCAGGCCTACAGGTGGGCTCACTGGCTGCACTGCTATGGGGAGTGGGGCGCGCACAGCCATGCACTGCCTGGGCCCTGCCTACCCGCGGCCTGGGGGCAGCGCCCTCTCCCTGGTTCCCCAGGCCTTCGGGTCAAAACCGTCAGTTTATGAGAAAGCAGTTTCAGCAGCAGAGGCTGCCTCTTCGTGCGTGTCTGTGGAGGTTCTGCCTTGTTAGAGGTCCTGTACCCAGTCACCAGGTAGCGATAGGAGGCCAGCATGGCCCGAGGTGTCCCTGCGTCCCTGTGCACTACCCTGCCCTGCTGCAGGGAGGGGACTATTGGAAGAGAGCTGTGGAGTGCAAGGAAGGCAGATGCCCCAGTGGGGAGGATCGCAGAGAGCAGAGGGTACAGGTCACCATCCATGGCCACAAAGCCTCCAGTGCCTCCCAGAAAGGGCTCTGGTACATGGCTCCCAAACAGCTCAGCCACCATTCCTGCACCACTCATTAGTCTTGCTGAGGCCCCGTTGTGCTTCTGGAACATTCTCTGCCCCAGAGGTTCCACAGTAAGCTGCTGAGAACTGAGGCAGAACTGAGAACAGGCAGGTAACTGTGGAGCTGTTCACTGGTTGTGCCTGAGTTTTTGCTGGAAAAATATTAATAGTTCTGCTGTCAGGCTGTGTTCATCCCTCAGGAAGATGAACACTAGCCTGGCTCCCTGCCTGTCCAGCCTCCGGACACACTGGCCTTTGTTCAGTGGTTTCCAGGGAGCCCTGCCACCAGGCAGCTCTGGGAGCAGCTACCGCCCCTCTGTCACAGGGGAAGCATTCTGCCCAGAGTCGGGGCCAGTGGCTGTAAGTGAGCACACGGCCCGCACGGGATGGATGGGCGTCCCCGGTCACCCCCCAGGTGCTGGGGAGCCAGGCATCTATTTCGAGCCTCTTGAGTTCGTGTTACCCAGAGCTGTGGCCATGCCGTGAGGCAAAGTTGGCTCATAGGAACTGGATGGGGATCTCAGAGGAAATGCCTGTTAAATGTCACCAAGAAACTGTCAGCCCTACGGGGCCCATGCCCTGTGCTTTGGCCGTGAGGGCTAGAGGGCCATGTATACACTTCTGTTCCCTCGGTGTCCGGGATGCGTGGAGCCCACATGCTCAGTCTAGGGACCCCAGTGCTCAGGCTGCCGCCTCCTGCTTTTCATGTGTGTTTCTTCCTTCACCTGCATCTTCTCCCCATGCATTCATGCTCGCATGTGCAAGCTGCCATGACACCTCTGCAAATGTGCTCAGTAGAAATGGGAACATGCCCACAGGCCATTCCCAGCTAACAACAAGGTGGCTATGATACACACTCACCTCTCGGGGACCCTCGGGTAAGGAGCCACCAGGGGATGCTTCCAAGTCAGCGGGGTGCCAGTCCCTGGCCAGCCCCAGGTCCTTGGAGGCCACATCACTTCACCTGCTAAAGGCCCTGCTCTGGGCTTCAGCCCAGCCTTGCCCTTGTGTCCCCAGCAGTGGACCCCCGTGCTCTGTGGGGCCCCGGCCCCAGACACCTGACTGTCAGGGAATGTTGCAGAAACCTGGGTGCAGGGCAGGCACCCTTGGGCAGCTCCACGCTCCTCGGTCAGGGAGTGTGCAGTCCCAAAGTGGCAGCTGGTGCAGAGCTGCTGGCTTTACCCCCACCATAGGCGTGAATGTCAGCTGCTTCCCGATGCAGAAGGTCTGAGGGCCCCATGTCCTCTACAGCAGAAGAGGGGTACATAAAGTTGGACCACAACGGTCACAGCAGCCAGGGCTGAGACAGGCGAGGCCAGGGAAGTCTGCCTGGCCCTCAGACAGGGACACTCACCACTCACTGTCTGATTGGGACCTGCCAGGCTCAGTCTTTCTTGAACAACTGGGCCTCAGGCTGGCGTCGTTGGAAGATGCAATATCCGCTAGTGGAGGCCTCTTCCCCACTCTGCATTAAGCACCATCCCTCCCTTGGGAGAGCGTCCTCCACCTGCACAACATGGTACCTACCCATCCAGGCCAGTCGTGGACCCCAACCCTATTCCAGGTCTCCCCGCTCTCATAAGCAGAGGAGATGCCTACCAGCTGGGTGGACACACACGCATGTTTTTTCCAGAAAGGGCTTAAGGTGTCAGCAAGATCAGGATCACAAGGCACCTGGTGAGGGGCTTGTCACGTGGTCACATGCACATGTGGGTACTTGTGCACATGCATACATGTATACACAGGCTGAATGCACATGGACACATGCACACCTGCACTTGCAGACATACGTGCCTCCTGTGCACACATTCAGCCAGGGGACTATCCTCTGATAAGCCTGACCTTCCCTCAGGTTTCACGCCTGTGTGCTCCAGCTCCCGTTTGATCAGCACGTTCGGAAGAACCCCTCATTTTTCCTCCGTGTCATCTCTGACACTGCGTCCCGCTGCTATGCCCTTCTGAAAGCCAAGAACACAGGTGCGTGCAAGTGACCCAGGGCTGGGGTGGCCTGTGGTGCTGGCAGACACTGGAAGCGCCTGAGGCTGGAGCAGCACCAGTGCCAGTGTAGTGGAGACAGGGAGCTGGGCTCTAGACGCTCCTCGGCACAGTTTAACTTGCCAACCGCTCACTGACCTGATCTCACCCACCCCTTGCTGTGTGGGCAGACATCCTTCATGACTGGAACATGATGGGACATTTGGGGACTGGCTGAGGGGCCCTCTCCCAGGTGGGGCCTCCTCTCCACGGTGTTCAGGGGCACTTGCACAAATCCAGGCTGGTGGTCAGGAGGAGGCTGGGCCCAAGCCCCCTGCCTGTCTCAGGGAGGGAGAGAGGGAACCGAGGGACACCCGTGCGAGCCCCTACGCTGTCTCTGCTGCCCACAACCTCATCATGCACAGCCACAGTCAGGTCTTTCAGGCCCTGCGTTGTGGTCCTGAGGTTAACAGACTTTACTTTCTGTTCTGTTTTGTGGAAGTTTCTTTGCAGAAGTTGAAAACATCCCAGTTGTCAGAATTCCGTGGTACTTAGGTTGGGTGGCCCCTGAAATGAAGCCGCCTGTTGGTGCCCTGCCCCTTGAGCCTCCACTCCTGCACTCAGCCTGGCGGGGACCCCAGATGTCCAGACGAGCACAGGTGCTGGGGCAGGGGCCTCTGGGAGCCTCAGCCTCTTCCTGTGTTGTCCCCCAGGGATGTTGCTGGGGACCAAAGGTGCTGCAGGCCCATTTCCTTCCGAAGCCACAAGGTGGCTGTGCCTCCACGCCTTCCTACTGAAGCTGTCTCGTCACAGCGCCACCTACAGGTGTCTCCTGGGAGCACTCCAGGCCGGTAAGCGTGAGCAAGTGTGTCTAGCCCCAAGGTTTGTTAGGCATCCCTTTGTGCAGGTTGCCCTTGCCTGTCCTTGTCCTTGAGTAAATGAACATTGGTCCCTCCGTGTCTGAGTCACGGGAGTGGTGGGGACAGGAGTCCTGAGGTGATGGGGTGCAGGTGACTCGAGGGTCATGGCTTCCTTTCCTGGCCTGCCCACTCAGTCACTCCACCTCTTCACTCCTCACCTCCAAGGTTGACATTTCCTTTGGGAACTGTGTTTCCATCTCCCTCCCTCCTGCCACCCGCTCTGGTTTGTGTGCCCTTCTCCCACCCCTGGCCTGTGTCCTGGCCGCAACTTCTGCGCCCCCACCCTGCTCTGACATTCTTACTGGTCCCTGTCTGTTCCTCGGCCATGCGGGTATGCACTGAGGTTCTCGGCCCCTGGAGCCTGGCCAGCACACAGTAGGTGCTCAGCACACAGCCTGTCTCTTCCTGGCCCCTCGGGGCCCATGAGGCTGACAGGAAGCGCACACTCGGAAGGAAGGAAAGGAGAGAGGAAAGGAAGGAAGTCAGTCAGTCTGATCTAGTCATCTCCTTGCAGCCCAAGCACAGCTGTGCCGGCAGCTCCCAAGGACAACGCTGGCCACCCTGCACGCCGCAGCTGATCCAGCGCTGACCACAGACTTCGAGGCCATCTTGGACTGATGGCCACCCCTTCTCACAGCCCAGAGTGGGCTCCAGGCCCTCGAGCCCCATCCCTGCTGGGTCCACCCAGAGGGTCTGGCCCCTGTGCCCTGAGACCCCAAGATGTGTGCTGCTTGCTGGGCTGCTTCCTGGAGTGGGTCTGCCCCCAAGTCCTCAAGGAAGCAGAGCCTGCCCTGCCTTCAAACACCTCCCATCCCCCTGCTACCTCTTTCTAGTGACAGGTTCATCCTTCAGTTGCTCACTGCCAGGAGGAGGCATGTAGAAGAGCCTGGCTGGGTCATTGGCATCTATAAGGGAAATGTCAGGGACCTTTGTCACCCTCCTTGCTGTGGGGACACCCAGGTCTAGAGTGATGGCCCATAAGTGGTGGGTGTGTGTGGATTCCTTCCCGCTGATCTGCATAGAGTCCTGAATCAAGCCATCCACGCCCAATGGAGCAGCTGATGCCCACACCATCTGATGCCCCATCTGCATCCAAAGTCCATGCCTTGCTCAGCTTTGCTCAGGAGCAAAAGGCCCGGTCAGCTATTTGAGGCCGAGCCCCACCCACGTTTCTGACCTACCTGTCCCCACACCCTGCCCGGACCTCCTGGTGCCAAGTGCCCAGCACCCTTCACCGAGCTGCCACACCTACTTCCAGAGTCTTCTGCTGGTCCCCACTCACCAGCCCTCGTGGCCCCTCCTGCGCCACCTCATACTCCTACCCTATCACCCCAGTGAATGCTGCAGCGAGAAGAGCCATTGTTTATTGTTTTCTTCATTTTTAAATGTTTCTTTTAGGTTTGTATTTAAGTATCCACCAAATAAGTATTGTTATCTATAATTATGAAAACTTCAGTGTTGACGTGTATAGGTCTTTGGTTTAGTGGCGGCTAGAGGGGGTTTCCTGGGGTGGGGATGTGGTGGGAGGGAGGGAGGTGGTGGGTAGATGGGAAGGGGCACTCCCACAGGCCAGATGCAGCAGGAGGGTGGGTGGGAAAGCCCTAGCCCAGCAGTGCCTACAGCTGACTACTGGCTCAGCTCAGAGGTGACTTCGTGAGGCAGATCTCAACCTGAATTCTGGGTTTCCCAGGGCTTGAGCCACACATATGTGGGTGCTACACCTCCAGGCTTCCAGTTGAGCAGGCCTGGGGTAAGGCCTGGGAGTTAAACAAGTTCCTGATGCTGCTGACTGGCAGGGCGGGGGCTCCCCACAGAACTACTGCTGGGGGGACGTGGAGGTTTGGGGACTGGCCTTGGGGCCCTCCTGCATGGTAGCCTGGGGAGCAAACAGCAGCTCACTCAGCCCACAGTGTCAGGAGTTTAGGGGTATGTGGTGGGTGAGGTTATGGGGGATGCAGGTGAGACCACCCAGAAGTGACTGGAAGTCCGGGAGAGGTTTATATGAGAGTATTCGGTCTGGGGTCTTGCTAATGGGGAGGAGGGGCTATTCTCACAGTGGCTTCACCAGAGCCTCCACTCTCCTGCCAAGTCCCTGCTCAGATCCCCACCTTCTGGGTCCACCCCAGCCTCCAGTTTCTGTGAGGAGCCCCCGTGAGAGAAGGGCTTGTCCATGTAGCTGCAGGTATCATTGGGACAAGGAGCTGAAGTTATGCCCTCATCTCTGTGAGAATGACCCCTCCAGTGGGGACCCACAGCATGCCCTTCTGGACCACCCTGGGGAGCATGCTATGCACTGGTGGGCTATGCAGAGCACTGAATAAATGTCAAACAGGCAGAGCTGGAAAAATTGCACAAAGAATAAAAGGGGGCAGCTCAAAGGGGGTATCATGAGAAATAATTGCCCCATCCAGGGGAGTTGGCACTCTGCCCTGTCCACTGGGGTGGAGTGGTGAGCAATTTAGAAGCTTCATTCCAGGTGTTTCTGATGGGACCACAAAACGTGACAGATGCCATTGAGTGTACTTTGGAGGGGGTTGAGTGCACGTGCCATCGAAGTTTATGGATATTGCCTTGTTTACTATTGCTGCGGAGAGTGTTCAAGCAACAGGGCTATCTATTTATGGCAGACCAAAGTCCAAGTGCATCGTAAGTGCGCAGGAGATGTGAGCGGTGAGAGACTGAGCCCCACCCTGAGTGTTTGCAGAATCCTCGCCGTTGTAAATCAGGGAGAACCAACCCATCACCCAGGGTGGGTAGGACAGGACATGACCGGGACCTGCAGGCGCCTGACCTGTCGCGCCCTGATCACCACGGGCTCATGGCGCCCTGGGCATTTCTGTCATTTCCATAGCAGCCTGGGCCCAGGAGGTCAGTTATCGCTCCATTACCTGTCTTCTAGAAGCTCCAGAATCTTGTTCTCTAGGAAGTGCGTTCTGTGGCAGTTTTACACAGGGTCATGTGCATCTTCACACAAGTGTTAAACCCTTGACAAGGGTGTGTGCTTTGATCAGGCTTCACTCACTAAGAATTTCTTTTTTTTTTTGACAGTGTGTATCTTAAATTATTATTTCTTCCTGTTGCTTGCACCAGGGGTGGGGGATAGAGGGAAGGAAAGGGAGAGGGGAGTTTACCTCCCCACCTAAGGCACTGAGTGGAGAAGCTCCAAGGGGGGAGGGGGAGGCCACATTGTCCTCATTCCATGGGGATAGGCGCTTGGGCTCCCCAATCACCTGAATGCTGAGATGAGGCCTAGGGCAACCTGACCTCCCCCTACCCCAATATATTATGTTTTCACTTTTTAAATAGATACATGGACTCACTAAGAATTTGACTCATCTCTTTTTCAAAACCACTCTGCAGTCTGCCAAAAGCTCAGGGAGAAATGAGAAAATGATTTTAAAAATTTTAAAGTGAAGGAAAATATGTAGATTTTTGGTTTTCCCTAGATCTACAGGAACAGGAGCCCATTTGCTTCTGCATCCCACAGATGTGTAAGGAGCAAGTGGAGCAACTTGGAAGGAGTGACCAGGAAGCAGGAGTGGAAGCAGAGGATACCTCCAGGCGCCTCAAAGTGCTGAGTGGTTACCCCGCCCCCAGTCCAACGATCCTTCCCCTCTCTTGCCCACCTGTGCTTGACACCTAGCTGTTGTGGACACTGTAGAGCAAAGGGCTCCCCAGCCTGTGGGCTCAGAACCCACAGGTGCTGTGTGAGGCAAAATAACGACCCCCAAAGTTACACCCTAAATCCCAAAACCTGAAGTGAAATTAGGTAACTAATCAGAGCAAAAGGGAGATGATTATGAATTATCTGGAAGAACCAGTGTTATCATAGGGTCCCTAAAAGGCTGAAGAGGCAGTATGTCAGAGAGATGCCATGTGAGAAAGACGCACTGGCCATTGCTGGCTTTTCAATAGAGGAAAGGGTCAGGGTTGCAGCATGGGAGCAAAGGCCAGGCCTCACCCAACCGTGGGGCTTAACACATACTTTGGGGTACTCTTGAATTCAGTCCACTCGAACACCCAGCTGCTCTAAGGCAGCAGTAATGCATGCTCTGTTTGTCTGGGTCTGGGCTGGCTGTGGGCACAGCAGGCCTGACGTGGGTTGTTCATAACCTGCCATAGCCCTTGGCTGGGGTTTTCAGCACCCTGGACAGCACTAGCCCAACTAGGAACTGGCCTAAAAGGTGCTTAGAAAGGCGTGTGCTGGGTCTTCACAGGGGCTGTTCCCAGCAGCAGGTAGCCAAGGACAGCATGGTCTCAGGGTGGCAGGTCATAAGCAAGCCTGTGTGTCAGGGCTCGGCACCACCACCCTGCCCCCTGGCTCGGTGGTGGTGGAGGAGGAAAGGAGGGTGGGGAAGGAGGGTGGGCAGGTGGAAGAGTGAGCACTTGAGCTGGGGAAGACGCACCGCCCCAAGGGCTGTAGAACAGGCAGGTCCTGGCTGTGGCCTGCAGGGGGGCTCAGCGTATGGACAGCGCCGAGGAGTGACTAGGAGCATCTGGGAGTGAGTGAGTGATGTGGCTCCTCCGAGACAGTAGGAACCTGAATGATAATCAGCCTTTTAGTACCTTCTTGACACACGTTTAAGTCTTTGAGAAAGTTTTAAAAGAATGAAAGGCAGTGTTTCTGATATAACCTCAGGAGAAACCAGCCAGCCCCCTGGCTGGGCTAACTGCTCCCTTGGGGAGGGCCCATTTTGGGGTGCCCACGTGTTCCCTGTGACAATTCCCCACATGAGGCTACGCACCTCGCCTGAGACAAGCCCATGCTCCTGCTGGCTATGTAGTTCCCCTTCACCTGTGTGGTCACGACAGACCCTCCCCATGATCCAAGTGCTCTAGGTACAGGGGCTGCTGTGGGCCAGGGGACCGCTCACTTCTCCTTGGAGATCAGCCCTACAATTCCCACAACTTGTGTGCTGCGAGAGCCCACTGCACAGGGTACAGATGTGGCCTTCTTAGAGCCCTCTCTGCTGGCCTGCTTGGCAGTGAGACCCCCCCTGCCATTTTGCCCATGGATTTGCTGGGCACAACCAATGGCCACCCAAATAGTGCTTTGCAGGACCCCCGACTGCAGGGCCCCAGGAGCCAGATGCTGGCTGTCTCCCCCTTGGAGAACAGCATGATGTGGAAGCTGGTCTGAGCACTGGACAGGGTCAGAAGGCATGAGGGCATCGGGGAGCTACAACCACAGGTCTCAGGGTTGGGGGTGAGTATAATGGGGTTGGGTGATCTGTGGGTGAGGGGCGTACAGGCTAGGCCCTCCTCCGCCCTCAGCAGACTGCACTGTTCTGCAGCTTCAGGCGTGTGTCCTGCTGCACTCTCTCCTGCTTCTGTCTGCGCCGGGCGAACCACTGGGCCAGTGCAACCCCCGGGACCCACAGTGTGGGCAAGAAAGACAGAAACACACAAATGACCTGCACCCAGCCAGGGTAGGACTTCTCCTGCCGCAAGGGGAACTGCTCCTGCAGAGACACAAGGCCACAGAGTGAGTGCCCGGGGAAGGGAAGAGCGCCATCCCACTCCACCACCCTGGACAGAGCAAGGCTGACCCTCAGCCAAGTGAACGTGGATTGTGTGGGCAGCTCCACCCCAAGTCTTCCTGAAATGAAGCAGCAGGCTTCTTCATTCCAGATGGAGGAATGCAACAGTCACACAACCAGGGGCTGCTGCCTCAGCAGTGAGAGCACCAGGAGCTCAAGTTTCAGGACACGGGCCGAGCCTCTTCTGGGAACAGGACTCAGAGAGACAGGCCTGAAACCTAGGGATTGTTTTCTGGGAAGAGCTGCCCTGACCGCCGCAAGGGAACCTATAGGCTCAAGGTTGCATCCGTCTGACCCCCTGGGCATCATCAGGCCTTGTGGCCTCCCTCTCCCCTCTGTTGGAGGGCGAGACAACACGCCGATTTCAGGCCCTTTTGAGGCTCGCAGGGCACTACTGTGTGAATCTAATAGGATAATATTCACAAAAATTCTTTGAGAAGCATAGCATCATTTCTCCTTCTCCTGCCCATGGTGACTTGGGAAGCTCCACTTTCTAAGGGGAATTTGGAATAGAGTCACTCCCATACTCCCCACAAGGGGAACAGCACAGCTCAGAATGGTCAGAGAGGGTGGCAGGTCAGCCAAGCCACATGGCTCAGCCCTCTGGCAGGACTTGGTGGTAGTTCAGTGACACAAGCCACATGCACCTTCTCTCATCTCAGGCCAGGAGCGAGCAGCATGCAGTGCCTGTCCCCATAGCCCTTGGGAAGTGTGGCTGGAGGCCATATCTCTGTGTGGGGGGCTCCAGGGACCTGTGAGGTCACCAGAATCTGGTAACTGCTCCGGTCCTTCTGCCTGAGGTTGTCCAAGCTGCCAGAGTCACCTCTGATGTCCCAGGGAACTCTAGAGGTCCCATGGCCTCGGGTCTCATAGACAAGGCATCCCAGCCCTGGCTGGTGTATCTCAGGGAATTGCACACCAGCCTGTGAACGATTCCCGGTCAGAGCACATGCTTGGGTTGCAGGCCAGATCCCCAGCTGGAGGTGTGAGATAGGCAACTGATCGATGTTTCTCCCTCTCTTTCTCCCTCCCTTCCCCTCTCTCTAAAAAATAAACAAATAAAAATTAAAAAAAAAAAAAGAAGAAAGAAAAGGCAGCCCACATTGTCACTGAGGGTACAAATGTCCCCCAGGAAGGTCATCTGGGCCCTGGACGGCACCAGGGCCAGTTCAGGCCCAGTCTCAGGTAGATCCCAGGATCCCTCGGTCCCCATCTGAAGGACCTACGTATTGGGGGTTCCAGGCCCTATAGCTCATCGTTGTCCAGGTCAAGAAGGTTATGTAAGCCATGAAGATGCTCAGCAGCAGCAGGGGGCTGACAACCTTCCAGGACACCCGCCAGTAGAGGCCAGGTCGCCTCCCAGTCATCCACGCTATGTCGTCACAGAACCTGCCAGAGACATTGGGGGGTTTAGGTTCCCCCACCTGGCCCCATGTCTGCAAGCCCACATACTCAGCCAGCAGCTTCATCCAGGGTCACCAAGATGTGACCTTTGGGGGCTGCCCCCAACCTCTATCTGTCCTTAGCCCCCTTGCCTTCCTGAGCAGCCACCAAATGGGCAGCCCTCTCAGATCCTGATAAGGTCTCAACCTCCCATCGGTATGTGGTAAAGGCCTGAGTGAGCAAGTTAGTCTGGATAAGGGAGAGGGCAGGGCATGGGGTGCTCCAGGGGCTCCTGGCCCTTGCCAGACAGCAAGGAGGAGCTCAGCCTGGCCCCCAGCCCGGCCCCTGGGTGAGGTGCCACTGGATGGGAACTGTGGGTTTCATCCCTGGGAGGCTCAGCTGCTGCGTGAGAAGCAAAAACGCCCCTGCCAGCCCAGACGTGGGAAGGAAGCTGGTGCCCGGGCTGGTGCCCTCAGTGCCCAGGGTAGAGAAGCCACCTGTGAATGACCCTGCCCCTGGGGATTGGGACAGAGCTGCCCCAGGATGTGCAGCAGCTGCATCCAGGAGCCAGTGGAAAGGCAGGAACCCTCTTGTGGCTCTTCCTCTGCCTGCTCCCTCCACCCCAGCTCTGCTCAGATGGGTCCTGAGTGTCTCTCCCAAGGGCCCGGGGCTGGGTGGGATTCAGGGCTCACTGTTTGTCCCACATTACGAGGTCAGCTGCCTCTCACTTCCATTTCTCCAGGTGGGCAGTGTCTCACCTCAGAACAAGCACACTGGCCCCCGCACCCACAGGGCAGTGGTGAAGGCCCTAGATTTGGTGGCTCCCAGGACCCCTTGGAACCAAGGACAGAGAGCACAACCTCTAGGGCCACTGGAACAAAACTGGGGTTAGCGGCGGCAGGTATGATTGCAGGCCTAAGTGTGGGTGTGCTAGGTACAAGTTACAGGTGTGAATGCAGGTATGAGTGATAAGGGTGAGTCCAAGTGTGAGAGAAGGTGAGTGTGCAGCAGGCCCCAGCCTTGTGGGGATGGGCAGGACCAGTGCTGAGCCTTCTCAGAGGCCTCCAGGAGGGCATCTGGGCAGAGAGGACCTTCTGGTACCCTAGTGCCTACCAGTCCTTGAACTTGAAGAGCCTGCCCTATGTGGCGAGAGACTGGCCACTTTCTTGTTTGCCTCCCCACAGGCTGGGAGGCCAGCACAGCCTGGTAGGCTGGTGCTGCGAAGGCTTCTGTGGACCACTGGGAGCCACCGTTAGGTACATTTTTAGAGGGGCCTCAGATGATTCTGTCTTGTCCTCTTAGGTGCCCTGGGGACTGGCTGCTGTGAAGCGCAGACATTGTATACAGGGATGCTGGGAGCAGAGGGGCAGGACGTCAGCCCCCGCTGATGCCCAGGGAAGCAGAACTCACTTTTCCATCCCATAAACATAGATGACACCGACCACCTCCAGGAAGGCGAACATGATTAGGTTCAGGGAAGCAGCGTAGCTGTCGAAAATCTCAAGCCAGTAGTTTCCAGACTGCAGCGCGAAGCAGGTTGACATGAGGAAGCAGCCCAGGCAGACCGCCCCTGTGGGCACGGACACTCACATCTGAGTAAGTCGCCCAGGCTGCTGCCCTCCCAGCTCCTCACACCTTCTCTCCTGTCTGCCTGTCCCCACCAATTCCCAGACTGTGCTCAGAGGACAAGAGGATGCTGGGATTGGACTCACTGGGCAGGGTGGGAGGGGATCCCTGCTCCCTGTTCCCTGCTCCCTGCCCCGCTGACTCTCCGCTCTCCCATAATGACCCTTAGGGGCGTCAAGTCAGCGCAGGGCCCCTGTGTCCCTCGCTGAGAGGTGACAAGGCTGGCCCAACCTTCCATGGATACTGGGACACAGCTCTCAAACTTTAATGGAAGAGGGTTTCTGGACAGCGTTGGGAGTAGAAAAAGAGCTGTGAAGCAGGGGGACAGTGACAACACTCACCAGTCAGGGCCTCCTTGGGGACCCATCTTGGCAGGACCTCCATATCCAAGAGTGGTGTGATGATAGCCTCCATGTGCCCAAACATGGATGACAGCCCCAAGGTGAACAGCATCACAAAGAAGAGCACAGCCCACACAGGTGCTGCTGGCATGTGCAGGATGGCCTCCGTGAAGACGATGAAGGCCAGGCCCGTGCCTGAGGCACTCTGCAACACACGCGTGGCCCATGCTGGGACACATGTGCATGGAGCATCCGAGCTTTGATACCTATGCTGGCACTCCTAGCGCTTGGACACATGCACCAACATATCCTGCACCATGAGATACGGGTGCACCGATGCCCCTCCTGGCCTCAGGGCTGAGGTGGTAGTCCTGCTCTATGTGGGCTGTGCTGGGAAAATAGGGGCGCACCTCTGAGTGAAAGGAACATTTTTTCCTTTAATAGCCTCCAGCCAACATGTGACATGGGGCCCCAGGCCCTTGGGCTCAGGCACCCATCAGACCGCTGCCTTGAGGGCCTGCCTCCTGATGACCCATCCCAGCCTATTGCCATAGTCCCCGATGATCAGCTGGCCCCACGTGCAGCTGCTCAACACCCGCCACAGCCAGTGACGGCCACTCCCCTGGTCAGCTGCCTGCAGCAAGGCCAGGCCCCTCAGTACCTTATCCAGGAAGTCGTGCAGACAGCAGGAGTCCAGGTGCAGCCCAGCCACCCTATCGGCCTGGGTGGCATTCAGGTGCGTGAGGACAGCAGTGTAGTCGTCCCTGGAGATGCTCTGGTCAGGGAAATCAAACTCATTGGTGAGGCTGAGGATGTTCCTGCAGGGACAGAGAGGCTGAGTCAGCCCTCAGCGGGGTACCTGGCTCCCACAAGTGGGCACAGCTAGAGACACCCAAAAGGGACCACACACTGCCTTCCTGTATCATCTCCACTGTGGACAGTTGGGGCCCAGGGTTTTCACATATTTTGTGCTTTTTGGTGGTGATTTTGCTGTTTAAAATGTCCCCCAAGTGTGGCACATGTGTGCTGTCCCTAAATTCAGCAAGAACAAGACACACCACCCAGGGAAGCTTGTCAGGTTGATTTCTAGTGCAGTTACTGGATCAACAACTCGTGTTCACCAGGCATTTTGGTGGAAGCAGCTAGAACAACCAAGTAGAAACTACACTGCTCATCAGGGCATTGGCCCTACAGCCTCTCCAGAACATTCCACCCCATCCTGGGGGCACTGCCTGTCCCCTTCCTCCCTCTGTGGGCTTGGCCCAGCTCATTAGAACATGTGTCACAGCAGCACCATGGACTTGCCCAGATCACCTGCTGGGGACTTGCAGGGGGTGTCCTTCCTGCCTCTCCCAGCTCCTGATGCTCTAGGCCTTCTCGGGCTTGTGGTGTGTCACTCCAGCCTCTGCCTCGGCATCACATCGCCTCTGCCTGTGTGGCCATGTATCCCTTTCTGTCTCATATAAGGGTACACTCATGGATTTGGGGCGGCCTTTCCAGTATGAACTCTTCTTAACCAACACTATCTGCAAAGACCCAACGAGGCCACATTCTAGTTTCTGGGTAGACGCACCTTTGGGGGACACTCTCTGCCCTCCTCCCCTAAGGAAATAGAAATTCAGAGAGCAGCACCCCCAGTGCAGCAGGCCCTAGCTGGTGGCCCCAGGATGCTGTGCACACCTGTCCAAGCAGCGCCCGTAATCATTGGCCGCCTTGAACCCCAGGACCGAGAAGACGGCAATGGAGGCATAGAGGGAGGTCATGCTGTTGACCAGGGCGATGATCACTGCGTCCTTCTCGCAGTCGTTCCTGAGCAGACATAACATATACTATGGTTAGAGCTGCTCGGAGAGGAAACTCGGTGGGGGCCTGCTGCCTCAGCACCCCGACCCTGACGCTCCCCACGCTGCAGCCGGGGCCTCTTGTGTGTGACCCAGAAACACTGCACTGTTCCTGGTGGTCTCAAGACAGCCTTGGCCTCCTCCCCTCCACCCCCTCCTCACCAACCCCTCCCACCAATTCCGAATCCAGGCTGCAGAGGTGGGCTAACTGCACACAGCTACAGAAGGTGAGAGTTAAGACAGTAACTTGTCAACACAACCCATGGCCCAGCTGGCCCTTCTCCTTCTACCTCCTGTCCCTGCCCTCTCTTAGGGGTAGAAATACTGACACCACAAGGAATTAGGTTTCAGGTGTCGGGGGACTCTCACTGCATAGTTTACCATGCCGTGGTCATTATGGGGGTAACAGGTCTCATAAACAGTGGCTGTGTCTCCCTGCAGAGTGGAGGCCTGGATTTGTGTTAGTCACCGTAGTGGCATTTCTGCTCTATGACCTCATGAGCCACACACGTGGTACATGTTGGGCGGTGTCCGCCCCATATAGTCTGGTTATCTGGGCTCTCTTCCAGCAGTGGCTCCGGAACGTGCCGGAGGCTACTGCACAGGATCTGACCTCCAGCCCTCAGGGGATGACTCAGTAATTGCTGGAATCCCCAGAATCTGATCCCATTTCAAGTTCACATTAGTTCACCCTCTGTCCCAGGCAGGAAGTCCCATAAAGATATGCTGAGTGAGCATCAGGACAGACTTGGTCCTACCTGGATGGGTTGTAACTTGCGAACGCAATGTGTCCTCCAGAGGCCAAAGACAGAGAGAAGAATATCTGGGTGGCTGCATCCAGCCACACCCGGGGGCTCTGGAGAGTCTGCAACTAGAGGAACATAGGAGAACCTGGTGCCAAAGACACACAACAATCGCCCCAGCACTTACTGTCCCAGAATATTCCCAGGGCTTCCCCTGGGGCAGCTGTCATGAGTGGTGTCATGTCTCAGGCCCCAAGGACAGTTAAGAGAACATGCTTGGAAGGGCAGTTAATACAGCAAACTTGGCCTCCCATCCTGTGACATGTCAAATAAGCCACAGCTCCTGTCCACATGGGACGTGCGGGTACTGAGAACTTGGCTGTAAACCTCTCAGGACTGGGAGATGGGTCTGAGCAACTTGAACTTGGCTGTGTTATCTGTTCCTTTCAGGCCTGGGGGATTTGAGTGACTTGTATTTGCCAAGGTGGGATTCACCTGCACACAGTGCCTGGTGTTTCTGCTGCCAGGGAACCCCGGGCAAACACCCTTCCACACACAGGTGCCCCTTTCCCTTCTTCCGGGGCAGGACACTGCCTGCGGAGCCTGGGGCATGCCATGCAGCCTGAGAATCTCACAGGGGATGCTGGGATCCTGAGAGTGTGGAGTGGTCTAGAAGAGTTGCACTCCGGCAGGAAGGTCCCTTGGTCCCATGCCTCCTCATCTCCGGGGCTATGCAGCTGGACATATGGGGTCCAGGGCACTAGAAATGGGACATCAGGTCCCCAACCAGCCTCACCCCTGAACCCTGGCCCCCAACATCCCACTAGCACCAAAGTCTGCTTATCCAAAACCGTGTCCTCCTCTTGTTCCCTTTGCTCCGACCCTGACTTCTTCCCTGAGGCCCACACTCCCCACCCCCATCCTCTCCCCACATGGCAAGGGACTGGGATAGCTGGGCTGGGCTCAGCTGTGGCCCTGACTTGAATGTTTTTTGGTGCCTGGACTTCCATTTGAGACCCACTTACGTTGGGAGTGAACAGGTAGGTTAACCCTTCGGTTGCCCCGGGCAGGGTGAGTCCTCTAATAAGGAAGATCGTCAGGACCAGGTAGGGGAACAAGACTGTGAAATAAATTGCCTTAAAAAAAAAAAAAAGACTAGATTGTGAGGTTTTTCAGTGATATCTGTTCCACATAAAAATCGTTAGCCAGGCAGGCATGCTAGAAACAGCTTAGTGGCCAGTGTTACATCATTCATCTGGGATTCTGGTCAAGTCAGGGTGGAGGGCATGGTAAAGATGGTAGAGGTGGACTCCAGTCAAGCTTGGATGGTTTGGAGCTCACTGTGATGGTCACACGTGGATTCACGTACGCGTTTGTGTCCATGGGTCATCTGAGTTGGGCACTGACTTCCCGGGTAGTGGCCTCTGTCTTATTTGTACTACAGACATTCAGCGCTTGCTTTACTAACACTCTTCCCACCCCAATCCCCTGCCCTCTCTCAGGGGTCTTAGGGCCTCACACCTGCCCACATCCTCTCCCATGTCCCACATGGCACCCATTCTCAGTCATGTTTGGGTAGGAATCTGTACCACAGCATCTATGCAAAGTAAATCTAAAATGGACACTATTGCCCTAACAAGTGTGGCTCAGTGGGCTGGGCATCGTCCTGCAGACTGAAAGGTCACTGGTTCATGCCTAGATTTTAGGTCAGGTCCCTGGTTGGGACACATGAGAAGCAAATGATCAATATTTCTCTCACACATCCATGTATCTTTCTCTTTCTTTCTCCCTCCATTTCCCACTCTTTAAAAATAAATAAATAAAGTCTTTTAAAAAATAGACTTATAGTCAAGACAATGGCATAGGCAGACAAGGCTTGCCTCCTCGCACAGCCATGTAAAGATTACAATAAACTATAGAACAACCATCCTCAGAACCATCCGAAATCAAGTTGAATGAAAGTCTCACAACTACAGAATTATAGAAACCACCTCCATCCAGACCAGTAGGAGGGGCAGAGACGTGGAATGGGCTGGTCCCACATCCACATGTGGTGGATAAAAATTCAGGAAGGATATCTTGGGAGCAAGGCATCCCAGATGCATACCAGCCCTCCCAGTCCAGGGTTCCAGTACCAGGAAGATAAGTCTTCATAACTTTTGGCTGCAAAAACCAGTGGGGATTGAGTCAGTGGAAGAAACTTCTGCAGTCCCAAGCAGTTCCTCTTAAAGAACCCACACACAGACTTACTCAGACTCATTCCCTCTGAGTTCCAGCAGCAGGGTAGCAGCTTGAAAGGCTCCAGTGGCATAGAGAGAGGAACTGAAGTATCTGGTATCAGGGTGGGAGCTGGTGCACAACTTTCTCCCAGAGAGAAAGGCAAGCAGAGGCCATTGTCTCTTTTCTGAACCCTCCCCCTACAGGGCCACAGAGGGAGCAGGCAGGTGCCATATCTGAAACTCCATCAACCTGGCTAACACCATTTGACCCACCCTGGAGATCTCCTGAGACTCCATCTCACTCAACTTATGGACCCATCCAAGCTGTTAATAGTGACTTTTCCATATGAATGGCTGGCCTTGGCTCATGCTTCACAACTTCTTAAATCCTCTCAAACAAGCAGCAGTTGGTCTCAGTGAGACCCCAGTCCCCATACCTCTTGCTTAGTGGCCCCAGGCCCAGCACTAGCAGCAGCCAGCCTAGATTCACAGCTTGGCTTCACCTGGGAATCTCCAAGCCCAGCACAAGTAGCAGCCATCTCAGATTGTTTTTATAGACCATGCAGTATGGAGCTGAGCAGAACACAGGTGGGGGCTGACCTTGGCCTGCACCACCCTGGAAACCCCTGAGCCTGAGCACCCAGAAGATGACTACAGATCATATCAGAGCATCACCAACCTACCCCCACAAAGCTAATCCTCCACAGAGGGTGGAGGTTGGTAGTCAGTGGTCACAGCCAGCCCTTACAACTGACTGGCTTGGGTAAATACCTCCTATTGACCTGCCAACAGTAATCAAGGCTCAACTAAAAAAGACAGGTGTATTTAGCCCACACAAAGGCCACACCTCAAGTACTGAGCTTGGGTGATAGGGGAGTCTGTGCCACTGGACCGTTCAGGGTACCTACTACATTAGGCCATGCTACCAAGACAGGGAGTCGAAGTAGCTCTACCTAATACATAGAAACAAATACAGTGAGGCCGCCAAAATGAGGAGACAAAGAATCATGGCCCAAATGAAAGAACAGATCAAAACTCCAGAAAAATAACTAAACAAAATTGAGAAAAGCAATCTATCAGATGCAGAGTTCAAAACACTGGTTATAAGGATGCCCAAGAAACTCAGTGAGGACCTCAACATCATAAAAAAAATCCACTTAGAAATGAAGGACACACTAATTGAAGTAAAAAACAATGTACAGGGAAACAACAGTAGAGTGGGCGAAGCTGAAAATCAAGTCAATGTTTTGGAACATAAGAAAGCAAAAAACAACCATGCAGAACAACAAGAAGGAAAAAGAATCTAAAAAAATTAGAATAGTGTAAGAAGCCTCTGGGAAAACTTCAAATGTTCCAATATTCACATCACAGGGGTGCCAGAAGGAGAAGAGAAAGAGCAAGAAATTGGAAATCTATTTGAAAAAATAATGAAAGGAAAATTCCCTAATTTGGCGAAGGAAATAGATATGCAAGACCAGGAAGCACAGGGAGTCCCAAACAAGAGAGATGCAAAGAGGCCCACTCCAAAACACCTCATAATTAAAATGCTAAAGTTAAGGATAAAGAGAGAATCTTGAAAGCATCAAGAGAAAAGTAGTTATCTACAGGGGAGCTCCCATAAGATTGTCAGCTGATTTCTCAAAAGAAACTTTTCAGGCTAGAAGGGATTGTCAAAAAATATTCAAAGACATGAAAAGCAGGGACCTACAGCCAAGATTGCTCTATCTAACAAAGCTATCATTTAGAATCAAAGGGCAGATAAAGAGCTTCCCAGACAAGAAAAAAACTAAAGGAGTTCTTCATCACCAAACCATTATTATATGGAATGTTAAAGGGACTTACTTAAGAAAAAGAAGGAATGCTGGCAGGTGTGGCTCAGAAGATTGAGCACTGGCATGTGGAGCAAAAGGTTGCTGTTTTGATTCCCAGGCAGATCACATGCCTGGGTTGCAGGCCATGTCCCCAGGTCCTCAGTTGGGGGCATGCAAGAGGAAACCAATTGATGTTTCTCTCTCACATCAATATTTCTCTCCCTCTCTTTGTCCCTCCTTTCCCCTTTCTCTAAAACAAATAAAAAGATCAAAACTATGAACAATAAAATGGCAATAAATACATATCTATCAATAAATGAATCTAAAAAAACAAACAGCAAACAAGAAGAAACAGAATCATGGATACAAGGAATATTTTGATGGTTGCCATATGAGAGGGGGTTGTTGGGAAATGAGTGAAGAGGTGAGGGAATGAAGAAGTACAAATAGGTAGTTACAGAATAGCCATGGGGATGTAAAGTACAGTACAGAAAAGGTAGTAGCCAAAGAACTTATTATACGCATGGCCCATGGACATGAACAATGGTATTAGGAGTGTCTGAGGGAGTAGGGAGTGATGGGGGGAGGGGGGAAAATTAAAGACAACTGTAACAGCATTATCAATAAAATATAATTTTAAAAAATAATAAATAAATAAAATGGACAGTTTTTTCTCACTGTCTTCAAATACAGACTGACTTTAGGGGTCACCAGGATGCTAATTTAGGGACTTTGATATCAAGGTTGTCTAGAATCTCTGGTTGGATTGTTTGACCTCATGGCTGCTCTGATCTCCCTCAGTAATTCCAGTCCTCTCATGTGTGAAGACGCTCATGTGAGAGAAACTGTAACGCACACACACCCACTGAGGAATGCCTAGGTGCACGTGTACATTTTAGTCTGTGCAAGAGCTTCACAACCACGACTGGGAGCCAGGGTCTATGGGTGCCTGGAACTGCACATAGCGGTTTTAAAAGATAGATATGTATGATGCTGGACTTCTCCGCACTGAGAGGAGTGGGGAGGAAAGCCGCTGAGCTGGGACCACTTTGGAAGCCATGCTTATGAGCCAGAGGTACAGGCTCCCTGGTCCTTTCTGAGCGGAAACTACCAGTACACTTTTTTTCATTATGTAAGTCTCCTTAAGAGATGATCAGCTGTTTAAAATAAAAATGCTAACAATGTACTTGATACACATTAAGTAAAATGCACAGGGTGAGGCAAAAGTTATTTTCAGTTGTGAGTACACGAAACAGATTTTATTCGTGTATTACAATTTATTAATTATTATATTATTTTCCATACAAACAACTGTAAACCTACTTTTGCCATACCCTGTATAACAACAGCACAAAAGCTGGGAGGGAGAAAGGGAGGTGTAGGGCTAGGAGGTTCTACCACATACAATGCTGCTCAAAGGTGAACCATGATAAGCCAAAATCCCTAATTCAACCCTAAGATAAAACAAAGCATTACAGCTAATTAGCCAACAAAGGACATAATGTGGGATCATAAAAATACTTAGAAAAGAGAGAAACAGGAACAAAGAACAGGTCTGACAAGTAGAAAACAAGCCTAAGTGTGAGACTTTTACCAAACAGATCAATAATCACATTAAATGTAAACAGTCTGAGCACCTCACACAAAAGGTAGGGATGGTCAAATTGGATTGAAAAAAGCAAGGCCCAACTGCATACTGTCGACAAGAAACACACTTTAAACAGAAACCTCAACAGGTTCAAAGAAAAAGAGTGGGAAAAGCATGGTCAAAGAAGCCTGGGTGGTTCTGTAATGTCTTAATCTACTCCAGAGCAAAGACTATGACTCAGAGAAGGATGGTCACCCCATAATGATAAAGGTGCTGTGACGGTTTTGGAGACAGAAAGGAGACATGACAGTCTTGTTGCCTATGCCCTTCCTAGCAGAGCCTCTAAACCTGAGGCAAACACTACTGGCAGTGCGTGGCAGGGTTTGGAGTCGGGGAGCCTTTGCAGCTGGAGGGAGCGGGGAGTGGGGTCACTCTGTGAGTGCTCACCTTCCCTGTGGACTCGATGCCTCTGATGACACACAGGTATATGACTGCCCAGCAGGCAGCCAGGCAGACCAGCAGCCACCACTGGATGGAACCGCTGTAGTTGATATCGGCCGTGATGTTCAGGGTCTGCCGGTACCAGAAGTAGCTCACAGTGCTGCTGCCCTGGCACTCCTCCACAAACCCTGAAACCAGGAGGTCTCATCACGGGCTGGCCAAGGAGCTCAGGTGGGATTCGGACTTTGCAAACCTCCGCCCACATCCTGGAGCCGCTGCTGAAGTGCTGGGCACACTGGGCAGGACTGGTGCCCTCCACTATCCAGGACGTCCAGCATAGCCAATAAGGTCGATACAGGGAGCCTCCGGGCCCAGGCTCACTGTCAGGCCCCCAGGGCCAGCCTCGTTCAAAATGAGCGAAACACAAATTTATAGGAGCCAGATGTGGGAAGGGAAAGAGGGTGAACACAGCTTCGTGAGCAAACTACTGAAAACGACTGTTTTCCTTGTTGTCAAGATCTAGCCAGACCCAGCACTAGGCTGAGGTCTGGACCGAAAGAACCAAATTCAACCAAAGCAGCAATGCTCCTCTCACTCTCTCATTGCCGGGCATGGGCAGGGCTCCATTCTGCCTGTGGCCCCTGCACACAGCAGTGAACAGGGACATGGGGTAAAGAGAATTGGATTTCAAACATGCTATTTCAGGGCGACAATGTGGGCTCAGAGCTAAGGCAGAGCATGGACTTCCCTGGCCCTTGGCATTACCTGTCCAGTTGACGTCCAGCGGGCAGGTGCCCCAGGGCAGCGGTTGTTGGAAGGAGTTGAGGAAGTACCACAGCACCCAGGATACGACAGTGTTGTAGTAGAGGCCGATCAGGGAGGATATGGTGAGGCAGCCCAGGCCTGTGGGTTACATACTGTCCTGACTCAGCTTCCGCCATTTCTGCTGCCCCTCGGCTGGCTGCATCTGGCCGTCTCTCTTGGCTGGTGATGTGTTATAAACCCCTGTTTAGCCTGCCTCCCCGCATGCCCAGGACATGACGGCTCAGCGTGTGCACAGGCCCATAGTACTCAGGACATGGGACAGCCTGCTTCTGCTCCATGGGGTTAGGCCATTGCCTCTTCTTCCTGCACCCTGAGCTCAGCCCACACAACACCCTGCACCCGAGCCCTTCCTCAGGGGAACTGAATGAGGCCCCCTCAGAGTGTAACCAGGGAGTGCTCCCACAGGGATGATGCTGCCTGGGTCTCTCTGCACACTTATACCAAAACCCCTCCTTTGTCTGCAAGTTTTGAACCACAGATGTGTGCTGGCATGACGAGCAAACCCACAGTGCCCACAGAACTACAGCCCCCACCTTCCACCCTCCCCAGCAACTGTGGGCAGGGGTCCCAGAAAGGCAGCATACCGACTCCACCCAGGTAGGGGGAGATGGCCAGCCACACCCCGACGCTGCCTCTGCGCAGGCGCTGGCCGATGGCGAGCTCCAGGTGGAAGAGTGGGATTCCCCCAAAGGCCAGGGCGATGAAGTAAGGAATGAGGAAGGCCCCTGCAAGGACATGGTGGGCAGCAGAGGTAGCCACATGGGTAGGGGAAGCACCGCGGCCTCCCTAAGAGGGGTCAGACCACACTTAGGGCCCAATGTTGTTTTAAATCACTTGGCCGCATCCGACTTGGTGGTGCTTCAGAGGTAGTTTCATCAACCCATGGGCCATTTTGTTTCACCTAAAACCCCGTGACCCTTGGCTACCAGCTCTCCCAGGACAAGGTGCTGTCTTATTCACACAGAGTTTTGAGGAAGGCCAATGCCTCAAATCGTCTGTCAGCTGCACCCCTGAGTTGGGCTTGAGCCTGTCTGTCCTTCACTGACCATGCAGTGGGAGGGGCAGAACAAAAATTTTGGTCCTGGTTGCTGAGCCGTGTGAGCAGGGCCCTGGCTGCTCCCAGAATCCATAGATCCAGGCACCGAGCATAATCGAGACCTGCAGCCTCTGCCCGCACGGCCTGTGGATGAGGCCCCTGGACCCTGTGGATGTCTCTAGGCTGTTGGGAGGGGAACAAGGTCCCCAGCAGCCTGTGGTAACCTTCCCCACAGAGCATGAAATGGTGTTTACGTGATGGAATCATTGTCAGTCTCTACATATTCTGCTCAATTTTGTTACCATGTTGCCTGCATCTTACATTTAAAGTTCACAAAGCTGAATAATCATGAATGGGAGAGAAAATTAGTCACCCTCAGTGTAATGAACGTGTACAAATTAAACATGTGACACATTCTCTGCTTATCACTTATTTATCACTTACACCTCATTTTCAAAATAATCAGTGGTGGGTAAAACAGAGACAAAAGGGACCTTCAGGCACAGGGGAGGACGTTCTTTAGAAGTGCGAGTTACATAGTTCATGACATTTCACCAAATGCTCTTATATCTGCAAATAGGTCCTAAAGAAGTATGTCAAAAATGGGGACAAAGGCCCGTGGGCTCAGGTGGTGACAGGGACTGCTCTCACGGGGACACAAGCCCCCACACAGCCCCTGCCCTTGGCTCAGAGCCTGTGGAGGGGAGGTTTCAGGGAGATTAGCTCCCGGACTGTCCAGGCATGTGGCAGCACTGACGTGACGGGTTGTAGGTGGTAAAACGTTTACAGACATTAGTAACTACCTGCATGTCCAGCCTTGCGTCAAGCCTGCTCCCTGTTGTCCTCTTTCCTGAGGCAAAGGGCAGCAGAGGGGCCGTGGGAGTGACTGCGCCTTCAGCCTCTGTGCCAGGGTGTTGTGAGCTTTCCGATGGCCTTCAGGGAGGCTTATTACCAGGAGACCCAAGGCCCAAGGTGCTGTCATGCCCCACACCCCCATAAATGCCCGACACCTCTGTGGGCAGCTGTGATGGGTGAATTTCCTCCTTCTGTCTGTCCGCATTTTCAAAATTTTCTGCATGCCATGAATCTTCTTATAATCAGGAAAGAAAATAGACTTTAAAGACGCATTGCCCTTATAACCAGGAGAGCTGTGTCAAACAGTGCTTTTGCCTGCTCTGCTCTGCAGCGCTGAGGCCATGAAGCTCCTGCAGAGCCCTTTCTTCCTGTCTCCCTCACAAGACTCAGCCTGTCCTCTGTTTACCTATCGCCACCAGGTCAGCCACCCATTTGTCGCTGAAAGGGCAACCAGAAAATGCGGCATGAGAGCTCACCCACCCACAGACTTCCCTTCGTCCCTCATTTCCTGGACGGGAGAGGCCAGAGTAATTGCCCCCCAAAAAAGCTCCCCACATTTCCCACCAGAGACCTAATGGAGCCAGAAGATCACTGTGAGGGACTCTCTGGGAGCCCTCAAGTCTCACAGGAGCAGAGGGTGCCTTGAAGTCAAGTTGACCTGGCACTGAGGCAGGCCAGCCCCTAGAGGGGGGACCCCAGGGAAGTACAAGCCTGGCCTGGGGGAGTCCCCTGCCCATCATGTCAGGAGACAAAATCTGATAACGATCCATAACAGATGTCAAGGGTGGTTTGTGTCTTTTTTTGTCCTCAGTCCCCTGCACTGAGAGTGGGAAGCAACAGGCATGTTCATGCTGCACCAAGTGAGACAAGCGCATGGAGTAAGAAGTGGGCTCACTGCTTTAGTTCCTGTCCTTCTGACCATCAGAGAATGTCTCACCCTGGCCAGTGCAGCTCAGTTGGTTGGAGCGTCCTCCCATGAACCAAAAGCTCTTGGGTTTGATTCCCAGTCGGGGCACAAGTCGAGGTTACCGGTTCAGTCCCTAGTTGGGGTGCTTGTGAGAGGTAACCAACCGATGTTTCTCTCTCACATTGATGTTTCTCTCCCTCTCTCTTTCCCTCCCTTCCCTTCTCTCTAAAATCAATAAGCACGTCCTCAGGTGATGATTAAAAATAAAATAAAATAAATAGAATAAAACAAAACAAAACAAAACAAAATAATGGGGCTAACTTTCCCCATAGGGCCCATAGCCTCCTGTGGAGACCCACTGCCTGAGAGATGCTCAAAGCCAGCTTTCAAAGGGAGCATGGAGCCTGCAGTGCAGACTCAAGCAGTAAAGGCCAGATGAGTCCACAGACATGGGCAATTCCAAGGTGAGGCTGAGCAGAAGCAGCATTTGGAGAGTTAGCCTGGGTCCCAAGAGCTCCAGTGCCAGTGCCCTCAGACTGGACTCCAAAGGGAAAAGTTTCTCCCTGGGTCATGGTGTATCACTAATTCCCAGGATAAACACCTTCCATACAGGGGCAGGAACTAGTCTGAGATGAGACTGCTCTCCCCTTCTTGCAGTTGAGGATGCAGCCTGGGCACAGGCTTACCTCCACCGTGGCTCTGGCACAGGTACGGGAACCTCCAGATGTTGCCCAAGCCCACAGCAAACCCCACACAGCTCAGAAGATATTGGAGCTTGTTGTCCCACTTGGGCCTCTCGTCCCCGCTGCTGTCCTCCAGTGAGTCTGGTCCAGGGGTGCACGCCATGCCTGGTCTCCCTCACCCTGCAGACTCAGCTCTTGAACTTCTGCTTGGGCTTGAGGTCAGGCGCAGTCTCCCCTTCAGGTGTATTTTTTGTTATTTAAAGGAAAACCGTAGAGCCAGTTAATCGGTAACTCAGGCCAGGCCCTGGCTCTGGCACGCAGTCCCTCCCTGGCCCCCTCCAGCCCCAGCCTGCCTTGTATGCCCAGGGCTGAGAGCCTGTAGGTGCCACCACCATGAACCATTCCCAACAAGGGCCTCCATTCCCAGCAGGGACACTTAGGGGCCCCAAGACTGGGGCCCATTTGGCTATCTTGATTGCGAGACAATAGTCTAAGAAATAGTACAGAGAGCCCATGTGCCCAGTTCCCCCAGTGGCAACATCTTGCAAGTATCTTCTCAACATCACAACCAGATGTCGATGCCCTTATGTCAATTCAAGTCCTGTCCATCACCAGAGGGGTCCTCATGTCCCCTTTTATGGCCACATATATCTCCCTTCCACTTCCACCCCCTTCATAACCCCTGGAAACCTCTAACTATAGTTGTTATTTCAAGAATCTTATGTAAATGAAATCACACAGTGGTGACCTTTGAGGTTGGGGTGGGAATTGGTGGGGAGAGGCTTCTTCTTCTTGACCCTGTAGCTTCCCCTACACCCTCAGCACCCAATGCCACCCTAAGCACCCACTGCTGCCCTCAGGCAGCAGGCAAGACCAGGGACATCCACTACACACAGTTGGGGTGTGAGAGGTCGGGGGGTCATGTGACACCTCCCCTCCAGGGAGCGGTGATGTACTGACATGGGGTGATTCAGCCTAGGTACTCCCACTTGGGGGGCTCCCAGACAGGGAGACTACTCCCCCACCACTGCAGATTCTTCTATCAGGATAGGCCAGGGCCCCAGATTCACAATTGTCACTTCCCCAGGATGCTGTGTCTCTCAAATATGAGGCCACAATCCTAAACATGTGGGTCCTGAAAGTGTGGGCACCATGGACACAGTTTTAAAAGATTCTTTTTGGGTGAGAGGGAAAAGAGACAAAGTAGAGAATCAAAGAAGATGACAAGGAGGAGGAGGGAGGGAAGAGGAGGGGAGAGGAGGGTGGGGCTGGGTGGCCAGCCTGAAACACCTGCAGGGGCCTTTCCCACCATCCTTCTTGCTCTCTCTCCCTGCCCCCGAACCCAGCTAACCTGGCCAGCGGCTCCCATGTCCTGAGGCTAAGGCTCACCCCCAGCATCATGGGGCATTGCAGGCAATGGACAGGCCACCCATCACACCTTGGGCTCTGTAGACACTACATTGTGGCTTCTTCAGAGGAAGTCCTAGAACCCAGAGGCACAGCCCTGCATCATCCCTTCTAGAGGGTTCAGCTGTTACCTCTGCTCATCCCTCTGCATTTGTACAACATTTAGGCCAAGAATATGAAATACAGTGATTTATTTAGACAGGTACACTTTCTGTTCATAAAACCTGCATGTCTAAAAATTTGCAAAGATCGTAAGTCTGTAAAATGAGGCACTCATCAGGTGATATGAACTGAGGAGATTAGCCCCACCCAGTCTCTCCCCTCCTGCACTTCTGGGTGGGGCAGTGCATCCACCAGGTACTGATGAGCATTTTCCCAATGAAGGGTCAGAAGACTTTGTGAATAGCAGGAAGTGAGGTTCCCACGGAAGCTATTGGCACCTGGGGATGGAGCCTGGAATGGTGTGAGGTCTGCGGGCTTCCTGGGTAGTGATGCGGTGTCATGTCCTGGGGTGGAGGGGGTGGGCTGGCCTCCCACTCTACCTCCAGAGGCTTCTCTAGATCATGACATTCAGGTGACTGGCCATGTAAGAGGACTCTAGACACTTCAAGGTATTTGGAGGTCCTCAGCCGGCTTCAGGGCTGAAGTTCGTGGTCCCTGTTGGACAGGAGGCGCTGGGAAAGAGGAGAGTGTGTTGGGGTGTCTCCAAGTGGGTAGACTGAACGTGGTGCCGGGACCCACCCTTCACTCAGCTCTCCCATCCCTGTCCAGAGAATGCTCAGAAAGTCCAGTTTAACTTAAACTTCCAGATGTTTCCATGGAAAGTGGGAGTAGCACTGGAATAGACACCCCAAGTGCCAAGTAACTTTGGCTGAGGTTGGATGTTGCATCCTAGGAAACAGGCCTTTCCATGATGGGGGAAGAGACAACACCAGCCTTCAGTGAGTGGCGCCAAGTGGGTGGTCTTCCAGGATCTTCACAGCCCCTCACATTGCTCAGGACATATGGACTGTCCTCAACCTCAGTGACCAAGGCCAAGTTACCCTACAACCCATCTTTTCCAACACCAGGCTAAAAATTCCCACTGTTAATGTTCTCTTAAAAAACATGCACACACAAAGGGCATTCCTGCCTTAAATTATGCCAAGTTGAGTTTTATTTAACGGTCATCTATTTGTGGCAGCCAGAAGCAATGATTAAATGGATTAGTATTCATTAAGCCAAAACACTGCCACGACTCAGAACTCTTCGCTGGCTGGCAGACAGGCAGGCCTCACTGGCCTAACCGCCAGTGGCCTCTTCCAGTCTGGGCCCCTTACCATGGGGTAAAATTGAAACATTACTGCAAGAGCTCCTAGGTCAACAGATAAATGGCAAGGGGGAGAGGGGGCAACAGGACTGTTTCAAGGAGCCAAGACAGCAACACATTCCTGTCTCCCACAGGATGAGCACAGCAGCTGTGGCCTCCCTGCTGTTTCTTTGACTCTTTTGGAAGGCCAGGTAGAACATGAGCACAGGGCCCGCCACATCCATGACACAGAGAACCAAGAGGACAGCCAGACCCCACATGGAGGATGCGTATGCTGCAGGGCAACAGGTACATGTACATGTGTACACACACATGTGCACATGCACACATAGCCTCGTGCACACACCCATATAAAATTACAACACAAATACACACTTAGACACAAACACATGCACATGCATATACACATGTATGGAGCACATCATACACAAGTCACACATGTATACATTTATAAATATACAACTTCCATGTTCATATGCACATACACATGTATACACTCACATCGGTTTGTATGCACATGGGTATGCACATGCTTGCCCATGCCTACCCACATACCTATATATTCATGTCTGTATGCACATCTACCTATATGCACATTCATATGTGTACACATGATAACGTGTGTATACACAAAACCATATAGACACAGGCACCAGAGCACATGTCTACACTCTTATGTGTGCATACATATGCATATACACACACACATGCATACATATGCTTATGTGCACACCTGTATATACACACTCTCTCACCCATGTGCACATGCACATGCTCACACATGCATGTGCACATGGACATGTGCAGCCATGGGCACGGTGCTCAGTACTTCAGGTCTCCATTTATAGAGGCTGTGGACTGGGCGCTTATCAACTGCTGGTTTCCTCTCCTCTTGCAGTAGTTCCTGATGACCTTGTAGATGGCAAAGCAGGGGATAGTGAGGCAGGGCACACCAGCAATGAAGACCACCACGGCATACACCCAACTTGGGTATGATTCCTTCTTGGATTTAGGAAATTCCTCCTAGGAAGAAAGCAACCACAGGGTGAGCAGACACAAAGACAGCCAGTGGGGTCTCCTTTGGGGGCAGAGTGCCCCTTCTCCCCCAAATTCTCACATTCTGGTCCTTGTTGGGGAGAAGAGGGAGACCCAAGGCTCCTCCAATCCCCCATACTTCCCCAGGAGAAATATGATCCCCTGCCTCCCCTGCCTCCTCTGTGCCCACATGCTTCCCTATTTCTGCCCCCACACCTTCCCTACACCCCCTGCCCCTCAGGTAGTCCCCACCTCCTCTATTCCATGTGCCTCCTAACAGGGAACATGACCCCCACCACCCACCCAGTGGCCCCTGTATGCTCACATAAGAAGGGTCCCAGATGCTGTACATCAGCTCCTCATTGACCTTGACCACGAAGAAGAACAAGAAGATGATCAGCATGAGCAGTGGACTAACCACTCTCCATGTGATTTGCCAGAAGATGTTGGGCTTGTGGCCGATCATAAACTCAATGTCCTTGTTGAACCTGGAAGCAGAAGCCAAAAGGGAGCCATCAGCTGATGGACATCAACTGATATTAATGTCCATAATGATGGACATTAAAGGGGCCTTTAATCCCAACAAAGCAGAGGATGGGCTAGGCTTTCCACACTGGACACACAGTTGCCATCCTAAAGTGCCACATCTGGCCTTTTTCCCATCACAGTTGCAGCCATCCTTCTGGACAGACTTGCCTCCGCTGGAAAGCCTCTGGGCACAGTGGTAGCCTCTCTAGAGGCCTCTGGAAACCACCCTACAGAGCAAACCACAGCCTGGTGTTCAATCTTGTGAACATTCCCTGGGCAGTTACGTATGCAAATAGGGGCCAATGCCTCTGGAGGAATGGAGAAGGGAAGCCTCAGTCTCCTTGGCAGGGCCATGGCCCTGACCTTGGAGGCCCCACTATCTCCTGCCCATCCTGTGCTGAACTCTCTTCTGCACAAATGAGTTTATTATCTGTAGAAATCATAACAGGGAGGGCAAAATGTAAATATGACCTGTCCAGGACCACTGATGATGTGTAGGGCACTTCTAGAACAGTGCAGATGCCTAAGCTTGTACCCAGCAGGGCCTGGGAGCATGGTGATAAGTCTCTTCTGCTTGGGGCCACTCCTCGCTCTCCACCTTCTGCTCACATGGCCTCCTTGAGGCAGCATTGCACAGGACCCCCAGCAGCAAGTGTCTGGCTTCAACTGTCCTTGGGCCATTCACAGATGGATGTGCACGCATTAGAACAGTCACACCTGCTTCACATCCAGCAGCAGGCACACCGCAACATCGTGCACTTCCATCTAAGCCTTCTTCCCCAGCAGGTGCTGATGTTACGGCACAGTGAGTCCTCCCACATACTCCTCAGTCTCTCCGTGGCTGCCATCCTGGCTGTTTGCATTGTGACAGAGATAGGCCTCCTGCATGTGTGCCCTTCCACATGCATGTCTTGGTGATCCAGAACAGAACTCTCCAAGTAGGAGTCCTGCCCCACCCCCAACTCGATGGCTTGTGCATGTCACATTAATAGACACCAACAGTTACTTTTAAGTTGTGGTGAGTCCAGCTCCTGTCAAAAGACATGGTGCCATTTTCTGGATCTCCTCATGTATGATAATAGGGTGATGTTCCCAGGCCCTGCTGGGTACAAGCTTAGGGTATGATAATAGGGTATTTGACCAAGCGGACAATTGAAAGGGCCGCATAGCCCTCTTTTTTGTTTGAGTCTCTGTTTGGCTGCACAGCCCTCTCTCCCCATAGAGAGGCCCAGAGCATGCCCGCCAATTGGGGCTTCCGGGCCATGGACCTCTCGTTGACATAAAACACCCAGCTCCCTCCCCCTGGTCCCACAGGGAGGCCCTCTTACCAACAGCTAATGTCCCTGTGCTGTCACTCCCCGTCCTCCAGTCCCCGCCCCTCACCTGCCTCTGGAGGCTGATTCTGGGCCCCACAGAACATGGAGCACCCTTCTGTGATTTCTGGACCCCCTGGTCATGTCTCATTGGCTGTACCAGTGCTGCACCTCCATGCCATGCAACTGTTTCTCTAGCTAATTATTTGTCTTTTGACTTTGCTTATGACACTTCAGTTATAAATGTATTTAAGTCACGTGGTATTTCATTTGTGACTATGCAGTCTCCAACAGTCTGTGCTTATCTTTCTATGCTAGATCTGAAACTATCTGAGAGCTGGAGGGGTTATGGTTTTGACTGCTCTGGATGGACATTCATCTGGGTTCTATCTCTTTCCCACCCTCCCCCATCCAGGTGCCAATCCTCTGCCCACACCACGCCGGTCCCTCAGGCCTGAGTCCTGTTCTCTTTTCTTCCATCTGGGACTGGAAACAGCACAACTTATCCCAGGATGGGAGTTTCCTATTATTGTTGGAAACAGCCGCATGCCTCAGGCTCCCTCCTACCTGTCCACACCATACACGTAGACGACGGCAAACATCTCACAGAAGGCGATGATGAGCAGGGGGATAGAGCCAGCGTAGCCATCCATCAGGGAAAGCCAGTACTGGCCAGAGTTCAGCGTGAAGATGAACGCAATGAAATACGACCCCAAACAGATGAGGCCTGGGGACAGAGAACAGCCGCTGCAGACAGGGCTCTCCACTTGCCCCTCAGCCATGGTTCCCGAGGCCTGTCCTTGCCGCCCGCCTGCCCAGCCCTGGCCTGTGTACCTGTAAGCACCTCCTTGGGCCACTTTTCAGGGATGACTTTGAGGTCTTGCAGGGGCACAACCACACCTTCCATGTTCCCAAACATGGAGGACAGGCCCAGGCAGAAGAGCATGATGAAGAAGAGCACAGACCACAGCGGGGACACTGGCATCTTGGTGATGGCCTCCGTAAAGACAATGAACGCCAGCCCCGTGCCCTCCACACCCTGCATGGACAAACAGAGGGGTCATGCACGCACGGCACACACTCCCCAGGTCCCCCTGGCCTCAGTCACGTCCTTCTCCTTCCTGTCAACCCCTGGCCAGCTCTCTTGGTGCCACGCCCACACTGTGCAGGTATTGGACTCATTTGAGCTATCTTGTGAAATAACCAGTCATTATCTCTTCAGCCCAACTCTTTTCAAAAGTTGAACTATGTTTTATGAACAGGACAGGGATCATATTGTCCAGCAGCAGTTAGGCCCCGAGCTGCCTGAACAGACATGTGGCAGCTGTGTAGATTGCCGTCTGCTCACAGACTGGGCACCACCCCCACCCACCCATGATTCCTGAGATGCACCCACATGGCCAGGTTCAAAGTCCTAAATGACTTCAACAGGACCTCAGTGAGTCGCCTAAACAGCTGCCCTGGTTGTGTGGCCCATTGGTTGGTTAGAGCCAATTAGAGCAGGCTGCAGGGCAGCATGTGACCGATGGGCTCTCGGGGTGTAAGCTCCAGAGTGGAGCAGGAGGGTTAGAGGCAGGCGGGCACATGAGGATGGAGATGGGCCCGTGAGAACTGGGCTCCTGGGGGAGTTCAATGCCCCTCCAGCGTGTCTTCCCCTCCTCTGCCTTGAGCTGCTCCAAAGAGACTCACCTCTGACAGGAAAGAGTTCATGTCACAGGTCTGGAATTTTAGCTGGGAGAAGGCCACGGGATACGTTTTATTGTACCACTGCTGTATTTCCTCAAAGTTCTCCTGGGTGACATTGCCTTCCGGCAGGTCGAACCCGTTCATGAGTGTCAGGATATTCCTGGAAAGAGAGTGAGGCTCATACCAGCCCTGGGCGGCACAGGCCTTACAGGCTCCCTGGAGGCGGGCCCGGGCTAGCAGCTTCACTCACTTGTTGAAGCAGTCGTCAAAACGCTCGGTGGCGCGGAAGCCAATGATGGAGTAAACCACGGTGGCTGCGTACACGGATGTGAAGCCGTTGATGACGGACACAATCACTGAGTCCATCTCACAGTTGTTGCTGCAGAGGAGAGCAGCATCAGGTCACTGCAGGCTGGGGGTGCTGTGTTCATGTACCCTGCCCCATCAGCACAGGCAAGGAGCCTGGCCTGAGCCTCAGCTGCTGGGATAGAGTGGGAGAGGGGACACAGCCCACCCACTGTCCTTCCCCGACTGCACCCAGCAAGAGGTGACCAGAGGACTGTCCCCAAACCCTGCACCTACAACCAGTGGTCCCTCTCTCCTGCTCTTCTTACCACTTCACAATGTCACCTGCACTGCAACTTGGTGGCCTGGAAGCCCCTGAATGCTGTGGAGACCTCTAGAGCACCCTTCAGACCCCAAAGCTGGGGCAGGAGAAACTTGTATGCCAACTTCTGCTTGGCCAGCTTGTGCCCTGGGTCCAGAAGGTGAGCACTCAGTCAGCACTCGGCCTCATGTGTTAGGAGAGGCCAGGGCCTCACAGACCACACCCCAAAGGCTCTGCAGAGGTAGCCTGGGCCATGCCCCCCACGCCTACACTTCCATGCCCCTCCCAGATCCGCTCCTGTGTCCCCTACCCCTGCCCCTCCATACCCCCTCCTGCCCTCCCCTGGTTCTCCACCCAGCTGAGGGCTCCCCATCATCAGCTTAGTGTGTCCAAAACACAATCCCTGACCTCCCCCACCTGACCCAGCAGCTCTCCCACTGATCCCACTGCTGACGCTAACCCCATCCTTCTAAATGCTTTCAACAAAAGCCTAGACCCCTAGCTCTCAGGGAAACAAATCAAGCCACAGTGAAACACCACGTCCCACCTACACCACTGGATGGCCAGAGTTAAGAAGCTAGATAATAACAAGTATCAGCATGGATGTGGGGAAATGGGGCCTCACCACTGCCCTGCCCGGCCCCCCACCCTCTCAGACCGTCCCCCATGACCAACAGCGCGCAGCCAGCAGACGTCGCGCTCACCTACTCCCCGTCTAAGTCTTTTCTCATATTACACCTTCTGTGTGCGAGCCAGCCCCGACTGAGAACCCCAGCCTGGCCCCCCGTCCCTCCAGGGATCCCTCTTTCTGTTCATTCTATTTATCTCTCTGCCAGTCCACAGCCATAGGTCCTAGGAGGACAGAAACTCATGTACCAGGTAGGGCACACAGTGGGTCCTCCATAAGTGTTTTTGGAGATGAACTGGTAACAACTGCATTCCCCTGAAGATCCCTAGGGGCTCTTTCTGTGTGAGTGCTGGTCTGGGGTGGATGATGGTGGCCGGGCATTTGGGGTCCTGGATGCTGAGGGGCAACCAGAGAGTGGGTGTGGGGGAAGGAAGGGAGCACACCAGGGCTCGCCATCCTTGGGACCAAGGCACCATGGAGAGCATGGTCGTAAACAGGCCTCACTTGAGGCATCTCGTATGTGAAAATCTCCCAGGCCCTGAGCCTGCCTCCCCAGCATGGAGCCCCATGGATCCCATGATCCACTGGGGCACTGAGGCAAGCCCAGCCCAGAACCCCTGTCCATACTCACTGGACAGAGTTGTAGCTGGAGAAAGAGATGAGGCCCCCAAAGGCCAACGAGAAGGAGTAGAAGACCTGGGCCCCCGCGTCCAGCCAAGTCACTGGGTTGGCCAGCTCTGTGATCTGTAGCCAAACAGAGAATCTCAGCCAGGTGCCCCAAGGATGAGGAGTCACGGAAAACCAAGGGGGTAGTGGCCCGCGGGGGAGGTATGAGCCTAGAGGCTAGTAACAGCTGAGGCTGCTGGGCAGGTGGCAGCTGATGACTTGGAGGTGGCTGCCAGCAATTCACACAGAGCTTTCCTCAAGCTCACAGGCAGCCCCTCACACACAGGTCCAGCACACACACATCGAGGGGGCTTGGGACTGGCCGGGGCTGGTCTCAGGTGGGGAGGCCTATCCCCCAGGGTGGCCTCTCCCACAGGAGCTGGAGCCCGGGGGCAGACAGCAGGAGACTCACATTAGGCGTGAAGAGGAAGACAATGCCATTGGTGGCTCCCTTCAGTGTAAGGCCCCGAATGAGGAAGATGGTCAGGACAACGTAGGGCAGCGTCGAGGTGATGTACACAGCCTGGGGACAGGGCAGAAGTGGGATGAAGGGGAAGACACGAAGAAAAGGGGAAGGTCATGCAGGACCCTGGCTCCACTTCCCTGGGAACCACATTGCCCCCAGCTCCCAGGACAGGGAGAGGAGACATTTCCTACTGTTTGTACTGAGGACTATTCAGCTCTCCCCAGTCAGAGCGCTGCTGTGGGTCACTCTTGCCACAGCTTTTTAAGCACAGGTCTGAGAACTGCCCTGGCCACCACCATAGCCCCTTCCGAACAAACAGACATGGAGCAGTGACCCTCAGAGCTGGTGAAGGGGCAGCCAGCTCCTGCTTGTCCCTGCAAGCCCCTGAAGCCCAGGCCACACCTTGCCAGTGGTCTCAATGCCACGGATGGTGCACACATAGAGGACACTCCAGGCACAGGTCAGGCAGAGCAGGATCCACCACTGCACAGAGCCAGAGTCGTCAATGGAAGTAGAGATGTTGAGGGTCTCCCGGTACCAGTAGTAGTCCACAGCTGAGCTGCGGGCGCACTCCTCCACGTAGCCTGCAGGGGGCATTCACAACCGTCAGCATGGGTCAGAGAGAGGGAACCGAGGAGGGGGATGAGGAACAGAGCGGTGCCACAGGAAACCAGGCTGTGCTTCCAACTCACTGGCACCAAGGACATAATGTGCACAGACAGGCAAGTGCACTTCCACATAGACAGGTGTGCATACACATGAGCACACTTGCACGTGCTTGCACATGAACATGTGTGTGCATACTCACATGACACATGCACACGTGGGCATACTTGACTGCAAACATGTACACATGTCCGCGCATGGGTGCACACAGAAATGTGAGCACATCAGACATGCATGCGTGCGCACACACCCCGTGCACTGGCCACTCCCTGCCTATTGGACCCATGTTTACAGATCAGGCAGTCCCCCTCTTGATGCAGATGTGTGCAAGCTGCCAAGCTGAGCACATGGCCTGTGCCCCCCACAGTCCCCGGACAGAGGGTTTGTTCCCCACTCTCCCTCCCTAGAGGGGGGTCCCAGAAAAACCCAGTGGTGAGGGGCAGGAGACCGCAGAGAGGAAGACCCTCAGAAATGTGGTGGGAAGGGACAGCAGAGGGTCAGGCCAGCACTCGGTGTGATGTCAGGGAGCAGTGGGTCTCTGCAATGCCCAGAGGCATCCCCCCACCTTCCCTTCATTTCTACCTGGGCTGGCACCATGCCTCCTGCGGTGGAAGCCCCTTTACAAAGGGCTCTTCTCTGGCCCAGTGGTCTTTTAAAATCCCCTGTTACAGTAGATGTGCTCTGATTTTTGCCAAACCTGAGCCATAACCATTTGAATTTGGGGAAATCAGAAGGTGCCTACTCATGGATTCTGCATGTGCAAGGGTGCACATGGCCCTCGAACAACCAGCCTCCGTGCCTCCTGAGCCCCAACCCTGCCTCGTCCGGGGCTCACCTGTCTGGTTGTCATTGAGCGGGCAGGTGCTCCAAGGCAGGGGTTCCTGGAAGGAGTTGAAGAAGTACCACATGACCCAGGCGATGATGGTGTTGTAGTAGAGGCCCACCATGAAGGACACGAACATGGATGCAATCCCTGGGGAGCAATCGACACTGCTAGGGGGCACCACTGGGAGGCACTGCAAGGGGGGGGCACCACTGGAGGGTGGGGCACTGTTAGCAGGAGGGGCAGTGCTGGGGGGACCTCCTCTGGGACTCAGTGTGAGTAGACCCAGGGTTCCAGAGAACAGGAGGATGGTCCCTTGGGCACTTGTTGAGCTCTGCTGTGGGAAGCAATGGGGGACTCAGCTCTCCCTGCATCTACAACTCCCAGGCCCTGGGCGCCCAGGGACTCCAGATAGCCTTTGCTGCCCAACTGGTCTCTGCGGGCCAGGAGTGGCCCCAGGCTGGACCTCGACACCTATACCTCTGTGAGATGCCAAGACAGGGTTTGCAGAGGGCTGGGGACAGCGAGCCCTCCGGAAACAGGTGAAAGGAGAGAAGGAAGGAGCGCGCTTGTTGCCCACACTGGGCTCGGGCAGGGGTCCCACCAACCGGGTGCTGACACGCACCTACACCTTTCAGGGCTGGGTGGATGGAGCTCCAGGTGCCCACGCTGCCCTTGCGCAGTCTCTGCCCGATGGCGAACTCCAGGTGCAGCAAGGGGACGCCCTCCACAATCAGCAAGATGAGAAACGGGATCATGAACGCTCCTGGTGGGGAAAGGGCAGCAGCGCGTCAGGCAATGCACATCAGACGGCAAAGGGCCCCCCTCTGGAGGCACAGGCTTTGGCAGAAAGTCCCTGCAGAACTTGCTCACAAATACAAACTTAGCACACCACCATTAACAAGGCACCACTCGTGATGGCCACTGGGGCTGTTTTATGGGGGACATTTCATGCCACCTCATGAGAGCGGCCAGCTTGCCTGCTGTCCCCCCAGGAACATGCTTGTCCTACAAGGGTAGCTCACGGCAGCCCCTGGAGAATTGATGAAGGTGTCCACCTGCTGGGCAGAGCACAGGGAGACGACGGACCATGGTGAGGCCCTTCTGGGGCTCAAAATCCAACCAGGACGGCACGGACAGCATGTGGAACCTTCACTCAATGGCAACGGTTAGCTTAATGTGACAATGAGATGGAAAGCAGACAGCAGTGACGACCGCCTGGCTGGATCCCCCATGGGAAGGGAGTGGGGCGCTGCGCTGGGCCTGGGGTACCGCTGGGGCTGCAGGGTCATGGGCAGAGACTGCTCACTGGGTCACAGTGTGGGTGAGGGTAAAGTTAAAGTAAGAGTTGCTTCTCTAATGTTTTCTCGGGAGCTTGATGTGAAAATCTTTTGGGCAAAACTAGCAGGAAGAAAAAAATCTGTGGTTCCCAAATGTCCTTTGATCCCATCCCTACTTCACGATGTCACTTTTACCCACAGATCCTGCTGCCCCTCCATCTCCATCAGAAAACTCCTATTCATCCTTGAAAACCCCACTTGGATAGCTGCTCCTCCAGGAAGCCTCTACTGCCTGTGCTCCTGGCAGCCATCCCTCCTGCAAGGTCCCTCAGGCGTAACAGGGTGCCTGACAGGCCCCCTGTCTGTAGGTGCCCATGGTCATGTGCTCTTGCACACCAATGGACACACGTACAGAGACAGAGAGGCCGTGGGACCAGGCAAGGTGTAAAAGTCCCGCAAGAGAAAGATAACACTCACATGGAAAAGCAGCTTGCTTGCTTTCTCTCTGAGAATTTGGGAAACAGGTGGGGGAGGGGAGGGAAAGGCAGGGGCAGCGTGGGCTGGGGAGTGGCAGCTGCTATCTTCAAGGCAGGGTCTGAACCTTCTCCACACCTCTCCCTCCTGCAGGTGATGTGTGCGGCACAGAGTAACTGGAGAATATTTGCTGACTAAATGGGCGCAGGGCCGGGGCCAGTGGAGGAAGGCAGTCCCAGGGCCAGGCTGGAGGGACGCATGGACAGCCCTGTGGTGAACAGACAGCATGGTCCTGGCAGGCGCTGCCTCCTGGGGCTCCCCTGCCCCACGAACCATTGCTCCTACGTGCACTGTCGCTAAGAAGGGGTAAGGGAAACGCCATGAGTCGGGGCGGAGGAGGCGGGCGGTGGCAGCACTGCGGACAGAATGGGGGGTGCACTCCCGTGGAGAACCAAACATAGCTGTTTGTGTCCTACTCTGGGAGCGAGTCCTGACTCTGACCACGCCTCCTGGTTCAACCTCCTGCACGCTCCCCACGTCTTGGTCGGCAACACTTGACAAAATAGCCAGCTTTGTGGTGCGGCCCTCAGAGCAGAGCTCGCTGTCACCTTCCATTTCACAGGGGCGAACCCCAAGGCCCGGAAGGTGCGCAGACGAGTGGAGCGGGGCCAGGACACGGACTCTGATACCACCTCAACTCGGAGTGGACTTTTGAAACTTTTGAAATATCCTTCTTCAGAAAAAGGGTTCTTCCTGAGCCCGCTTGCCCCAGCGCCCACTGGTCCTCAGGTCCCTCCCGCCGTCCCTAGAGGCTGCATGAGGAGAGCTGCTCGCCCTTCTCCCAGGGTCGTCCCTGCCACCCATGGTCCAGACGCAGGCCAGACTGACCGCTCTCGAGATACGTGCCCATTTCCTCTCAGAGTGGCGGCAAGGTGGGCTCTGGCAGAGGTGACTGCACCTTGCTGCTTGCCCACAAGACCAAGAAAAGGCCTAACTAACGGGGGGCAGCTGAGGTGGTGCAGGCAGAGGACACAGCCCACCTGGTGCCCCACTTACCTGCCACTTTGGTCACAGACATGCCCCCATCAGAGATCTAGAAGGTAGGGCCTCCTCATAACAACACGTTTCCGTGTCACGCAGCACACGGGGGCTTTGTGTGGGCCCGTGCAGTCGCAAGCTGCCACCATCCCACTATAGGTGGCAAAATGCTACAGATGCTGATCTGCATTGTGGGGGGTAGGGGTCATCTCTGTAGTTTTCTCTACTTTTCTGCATTCTATTTTTTTTCATTATATAAAGTTAAATATAAAAAGTCAATGATGGTTTGTTTTACTTTTCAAATTACCCAAAACTCCTGGAAATAACTAAAGGCAAACTAAGTTTTCACCAAACCAGGGCTGGTCGCCAGAGTCTTTAGATCTGTCACTGTCTCTTCAAGTTATACAATCACGCCCTCCCCTAGAGCTGCGGCTACAGGGATGGGAAATGTCAGCCCTCTGGAGTCCCCTGCCTCGCCTTGTCATTGTCCTCAGCAATTTCCTCCTGGGGTTGACCCCTTATCACTGTCCTCAACAATTGTCTCCTGGGCTTGGGGGGTCCTCACTGTCCTCAGTGAATGTCCCCTGGGCTTGGAAGACCAGGTACTCAGCTTCTGACCAGAGATGGGACACAGTGCAAGGCCCCGCAGGTGGGAGGGAACACACAGGGGGGCAGGGCATGACCTAGAGTGGACAGAAGGTGAGCCACCAGGAGGGCCCCGAGAGGCGGGGGCCTGGCAGCTGGACCTCCCCCTCGCTTCCCTGAGCTGAGAAACCCAGGACCCTTGGCTTTGCTGTCTGCTCTTCAAGACCCAGGAGTGATGTGGGACATCTCCCTCTCACCCGCTGTGCCTGGAGACAACGTCCCCACTCTGACCCTTGGATTCACAGGGAGTGTGTGTTACATTCCAAAAGTTTCCCAGGGGTGAACTCTTCTCAGTCCCAGAAACCCCCGCCCCCCACCTTGCTTCAGCCCCTTCCCTTTGGAACCAAGTAAATTCTGCAGGTATTGCCAGAACACTGGCCCCAGGGCAGCCCTGGTGGCATCCGGGAGGTGACCAGGACCTTTCAGAGGGAAGGGGCAGCCTGGCCTCTGGGACTGTCAGTGACTCTATGGCTGGGTGGCCTCATGGGCTGCCAGGAGGGTTCCTTCACCTCTCCACTGGCACGGGGGGGGGGGGGGGGGGCTGGGACAGGACCACCTGGAAAGCACAGGCGGCACTGGACCTGAGGCATAAAGACAGACTCTCCAGACAATCAGAAGCTTCAGTCTGTAGCCATGGAAGTGGGGGGTGGTTCACAAAGTGACCTGGAAACAACTCTGTCTGATTTCTTTTCTGTCACAAAGCCTGGTGAGAGCCTGCAGGTTCTTCAGAGGAAGAACAAACTCACATCACCAGAGAGCACTTGTGCTTTCAAAGGAGGTTATTCCAAAGCCCCCAGAACCAAACCAGAGGCACCCCCAGAGCATCCGGCCGGCTCTGTGGAGGCTGTCTCTCCAGCGAGTGAATGCAGCACCTACCCAGACCTCCCCCAAGGTGACAAGCACCGCTAAGTCCCCCTTCCTGAGGCAGAGATCCTGGCTGCCATCTCCCTGCAAGGGCTGGGTGCTCAGGGAGACAGAAGCCGCAGGTGCATGGAGGCAGATGGGACTCCGGGCACAACCTCCATCGCTGCAGCCTGCAGGCACCGGGAGGGTGGGTGGAAGGATAAGACCATGGGGACTGAGACTCAGCAACCCCAGGGGCATCTCTGCAGCTGGGGAGAGGGAGTGACCTCAGCCCAGGGGAAGGAGACCCCCTGGGCTATGGACAAGGTCCCTAGAGGCCTCTGGAGGCAGCAGGACGGGCTGAAACCAGCGTTACAAGGGGGATGCAGAGTTCCCGCCTCTGGTGCAGAGCCTGCCTGCCTGTTCTTCTGAGGGCCACCCACTCCAGGTCCTACTCCTTCCTCTATCCCGCAGGGAATGTGGAGCACACCTGTGGGTTTAGAACTTAGCCCACCGCCCATACAGTATTTGTAGCTCACCACCCTTGGTACCAGCACCTTCCCCGCTCAGAGAAGGGGCTCCACCCATAGGAGCATCTGGTCCCTCTCTGTCCCCGACTCCTGGATCGGATCTGTTCACAGCCCCTTGCCCTCCCAACTTCTCCCCTCTGTGAATGGGGTGCCGGATTCCTGGGGGACATCAATGTTTTTTGCCCTGGCCCCCCAGCCTGCCCTCCTGCCCAGCCTACCTCCGCCGTGGCTCTGGCACAAGTACGGGAAGCGCCACACATTGCCCAGGCCCACGCAGAAGCCCACGCAAGTGAGCATGTACTGGGCCTTGTTGTCCCACTTGGGCCGAGAGCCGGCCTCCTCCTTCTCCATGACCTCCAGTTCCCCCAGGGAGGGGATTCGGTCCTCCAGGCCCGGGTTCGGCAGCACAAGCCTCACCATGGTGGTCACAGGCAGGTCCCTCTGAGTAGGACAGACCAGGAGCTGGAGGGTGAGTGGACAAAGCCAGAGCCCCAGTACTTTATAGGGAACCTTTGGCACCTCACCCCAAGCACCTAGGCTGAAAGGAAGCGTCAGCAGATCTGAAGGGCGAGTCCACAGGACTGTTAATGCCTTATCTTCAGAGGCCGGAGGCGCTGGCCGACCCTTTGAGGCTCTCAGCTGGCACTGGCCAGTCCCTCCCCCTGTGCAAACACAGAAGTCACGGGCATAGATGAGCCGCCCCCACACCCAATGGGCTCAGACAGCCAGACTCCCAGGGGGTTCTTCTGGCCGCTCCCTCTGGAAGCTTCACAGAGGAAGCCTGAAATGACAGGAACTGGACTTGGACCCACATTCCTGGAGCTCCAGCCTCCCTAAGCCCCAACCCCACAACTCTTAGGGTCCCGAGCCCCCTTCCTAGGCTGTAAAACATGTGGTACATCCAACTCCATGGCGGATTTCCTGGGAAAAATTCAGCAATGGTGTTTAGTACACTGAAAGCCAGGTGCTCTGAGCAGGCGGGGTCTCGGAATCTTCATGACAAGGATCAAGGGGGCTGTTGCCAAAGATCCGACTCAGTCAAGGTCCAGAGTCACTTGGTCCTTTTGCGCAGCCCTGGATGGGGTCTGGGTGGAGAGCTACAGAGGTGGGTGGCTCTGTGAGGGCACTGTGTGCTCACGGGGCTGCCAGCGGCCTCTGTGGTCTGAGCATTCTGAGATGCAGGGCCAGATTCTGGGTGCAGGGCTCATGTGAGAGGGAGGGGGAGAGGGAGAGAGAGAAAGAGAGAGAGAGAGGTGAGCGATGCCAAGCAGAAGGCAGAGCAGGGAGTCCTCACAGCCTGGTGAGGGCGTGGCATCCCCTGTCCTTCCTGCTCTGAACTCTCCATCCTGCTTTCCCAAAGAGAAAGGACCAGAAGGCCTGACGTGCCCCGTCTGACCTGCTAGGACTGATAACCCCCCTTTGGTGGTGCCTCCTTGTGCCCCAGGCCCACACCCGTTCCTCCTGCCTGGAGCCGTCTTCCCACAGTGTCCACCAGCCCTCCCTCCCGCCTTCTGGTCATGTCCCAGACACCACAGATCTCTGCTTGTCCTTCCAACAGGCTGTGCAGGTGATTCAGTTGCTTGGCTAATTGCTTATGGCCTCTCTTTCTCACGGGGATGAGAGAGCCACCGGGGAGTCTTCGCCTCCTGTTTGTTCACTGATAACACCCCTCGGACAGCATCTGATGGCTCAGGAAAACCCGGCTGATATGGACTTGGTGACAGTTCCTGCAGCTGGAGGCTGGTTGTGCCCTCCCTGGATGACCAGTCCAGGCAGGCAGGGAACAGAACCCTCTGTCCTGAGGAGGACTGTTCCATGATGTGACTGGGCCAGCCCACCTGCCAGACCCGGGGCCAGAACAGAGACTAATTCCCCAAACCCCCTGGGAGACTGATAGCAGTCGAGGCTTTCCTTCTGCCCTGGGACACTCCAGATCCCGGAGCAGGCTGTGGTCCTGACTTGGTCATGCATGTAAGGAATCATCCCGTAGCTGGGATGGGTCACATCCCCCTATCCTGTCCACTCTGCCCTGTTCTTTATAATTCTTTAGCATGTGCCAAGTGATGTAGAGGATGTCCACTTAAGTTATGCCTCTTATGTAAGTTCCCCTTAATAAACTCTGTCAGTTGCCAAACTGGAGAGGTAAGTAGGGCAAATTGTGAAAAGTTACATTTGTCCACGATAAAGACACAGAGTGGGTCTGATGCGAGGATCTTCTCTGAAGGGCACATTCATCTGAGGACATCCACATCCTCCTCTGCCCACAGGCCTGAGGCCATCTCCCCTCGTCCTCATCCTCATACCCTGTCTCTTCAGCCATGTCTGCCATGACATTTCATTGCAAAAGAAAAACATGCTCAATAAAGAAAGTTGGAGACTTTCAACTACCACCTGTAGGTAAACACTAACAACTGTCTCATTGTTCTGTAGTTGTAGAAATATGTATGCATGTGTGTGTGCAGGGCCCTGGGGTGACATGTCACAGCTCACTTGTTCTACTGCTTCGGGACAGGATCCAATGTGTGCTGTTATCCTGAAAACCACTGTGAAGTCTGTTCTTGTCTCGGACACACTCACATCCGTGTCCCCTGTGTAATTGATTTGTCCTCGGTGGGCACGTGCCTAACTTGAAAGGATGCTGCCGTGGCCTGCAAGAGGGGTTGAGCCAGTTACCCAGCATCCCTTGGGAGGCCCCACGCCTTCGCCAGCTCAATGTCCTTGCCTAATTTACATTGTGGCCATTGTGCCAGTGTTAAATAATCACCTTGTGGGTTTTGTTGTTGTTTGTTGTTTTTGTTTTAAGCTTTTTAAAAGATTTTATTTATTACTTTTAGAGAGCAGGGAAGAAAGGGAGAAAGACAGGGAGAGAAACATTGATGTGCGAGAGAAACATCATCAGTTGCCTCTTGCATGCCCCCATCTGGAGACCTGGCTTGCAACCGAAGCATGTGCCCTGACAAGGAACCAAACTAGTGACCTTTCAGTTCACAGGCCAGTGCTCAATTTACTGAGATGCACCAGCCAGGGCTGTCCTGTGGTTTTTAACTGATGGCCTGTGTCATTGAGCTTCATCCATGAACTGACCAGCCATCATGATCCTCCCATTTAAATGTCCTTTTCTATTGGGATGCTGGCCCTTTCTATTAATTTTCAGGACATTTTACTATATTCTGGAATAAGTACTTCAGAAACACCTTCCCCCGCTCAGCCACTGGCCTTCCCAAACTCTTAACACTGTCTGAGATGAACACAAGCTTTCATTATACTGTTGTCCAATCATTGACCCTTTTAAAGAAAATCCTCAAAGTCATGAAGATATCCTCATAGGTTTCATTCTGGAAGCTTTACGGTTCAGCCTTAGACATTTCAGTCAACAGTCCACTTGGAATTCTTTGGAATTGGTTTTCATGTGTCGTGTGAGGCAGCATTCAAGATTCCCTTTTTTTTTTTTTTTTTTTTGATATCCAAATGATCCATCGCTGTTTACTCAAAATATCACCCTCTTTTCCTCTTTCCGCAAAACTGCTTTTGTCATGGATCTATTGTTTGAATATGTGTGGCCTTTTTCTTCACTTTCTACTCTGTTCCACTGGCCTTTGTGCCCACCTTTTGTTGTGGGTACATAGTCTTGATCCCTGTGGCTTTAGACCAGGTCTTTAGAGCTGATGTTCTTCCAACTCAAGAATATAGATGTTTTAGAACATGCTTGTAAGTGTTCACAACTTGGGATTTTGATTGAAGTGCCCTAACTCTACAGATTTATAGAGTAATTTAAATGGAATCTTAACAATATTGTTTTTCAAACCAAAAAAGAATGTGTTCCTCCATTAACGTATGCCTTCTTTCCTCAATAACAGTTTGTAGATTTTTTGCATGGAGGTCTTAAAGATTTTTCATTAGATTTGTTCTTAGGTATTTGATTAATTTTTATGTAATTTTAAATGGGCATTTTTTAAATATCTATTTTCTAATTGTGTATTGCTGGCATATATAAAAATATAATTTATTTTTGTATATGGACTTTATATTGAAATATTTTAACTTTTTTTAACCATTGACTTTTAAATAATTTTCAATACTAAGTTATGCCAACTGAAAATGACAGTTTTATTTCATTAATTCATCTCCATCCTTTTTCTTCTTATTCTGGTTTTTGTTTTCTCCCCTTATTACATTATCTCCAGAACAATGGTGGACGAAATCATTACCAGGAGGTATTCTGTCCTCATTCCCATTTTGTGAGAAAGCTTTCACTATTTCACTATGGGACCGTTGAAATGATGGCAATTTTTGTACAAGCTCTTGTCGGAATAAAAAATGTCCCTTCTATTCTCCGTGTACTAAGAGACTTTGTTGTTGTTGTTGTTGTTGTTGCAGATTTATTGAGATACAATTATCATAATATACAAATCGCTCCCTTTTTAGTATATTTACAGCATTGTGCAACCATCACTACAATCAATTCTAGAAATTTACATCACCTCCAAGAGAAACCTGCTCCCTTTAGTCATCACCCAACCTCACCCTTGAGGGTCTCCTTTTATTATGAATGGATGACAAATGTCATGAAATGGTTTTCTACATTTTTGAGATGATTATTAATGACTTGTACTTCTTTATTCTCTCAATGTGGTAATAACAGATAGATTTTTCAATATGAAACAACCTTACATTCCTGGATAATCCGAAACTGGCCATGAGGCATAATTTATGCATCGCTGGTTTCACTTTGCCACAGATAAATGCAGAGGTGTCACACCTGTGTTCCTGGACCCTGTAAGTCAGCCCACATTTTCGAGGGCTGGCTTCAGGTGGCTCGCTCTGAGGGACTGTGAGATCACACATTGTTCTCTAGGAACACTGAGTTATACTCCCACCAACAGAAAGCAAGAATAGTCCATTCCCTGCACTTCCTCTAACAAGAGATATTATTTTAAAATCTTTGCTATCTCATAAATTTTTAAAAATGTACCTTGACCCAGAGAGCTCTTCAAAGCCATTAGGAAGTGGATATGGTCCTTAGTCCATTTTGTGATTGTCTCTCACATTTTATTTCAATGGGCCCACATTCAGCTTCAGATATTTACACATTAGTACTAGAGGAGAACACCTCGACCTTAGAACCAGTGGGAAATATGTGGAGAAGCCTGAGTTGTGAACTCTTCCAGTGCTGGGCCAGAAGCCAAGCGAGGGGGCCCTGCTCCTGGGAATGTCCCTTGGACAGGACCTGCTAAGGGACAGGACAACTTACCCTGGCTGTGTAAGTCAGTTGGTTAGAGCATCGTCCTGATACGCCAAGGTTGTGTGTTTGATCTCTGGTCAGGGCACATACAAGAAGCAACTAATGAATGTGTAAGTAAATGAAACAACAAATCAATGTTTCTTTCTTTCTTTCTCTCTCTCAAGTGAATTTTTCAAAA